GCTCTCAGAGGGTCTGGGCCAAGGGGAGTTGAGGGGCTTCTTTGCCAACACCTCTCCCTCCTCTACAACCCTGGCAGCTTTGTCTTCTGTAGGATATGCTGGCCTCTAAGATCATGGAATTCACACACAGGTTATTTTTAACCTTTAAAAATACAGTATACATCTAGAGAAGTGTACAAGTCCTAAGTTTCACAGTTGAATGAATATTTATGAACACACCTGAGAAGCCCAGTCCACTTAGGCCAAGGAACAGAGCCTTTCCCCTGAAGCCATTCTCAACGTAGTCTCCTAGTCACTCTTGCCTGCCACTACCTTAACCACTCTCGCCATCCAGAAGCCTTGCCTGCTTTTGACCTTTTAATCCAGGACAAAAAAAAAAGTTCTTGTGTCTGGCTCTTTGACTTGACATTGTTTTGAGATATGTCTTTGAGGTCACATGTAGCAGCAGTTTGTTCAACATTGAATGGACAGACCGTGATTTATTTATTTGGCGTTCTGTTGGTGGCTCTGTGGCCCTTGGAGCTGTTCTGAATACAACTGCTCTGAGAGTATTTCTGTTGGTGCTGCCCTGAGTGGAATTGCTGGGTCATAGCCTGAGTGTCAATCCTTAAATGGTGGTTAACATGGGATCCACAGAGTCACCAGCCTGTTTCAAGGGCAACAGTGTCCTTGGTTCTCTCCACGGTGGGCCCTATTGCAGGAGTACCTACAGAGAAGGCCCCTGTTCCCACTCCTGCCCCTCCAGCGCCACACAGAGACCAGGAGCTATGGGGAAAGAGTAGCCCTGGACCTGAGCCAAGTATAGTCCTCCCTGGGTCTCCTGGCACCTGGGTGAGAGCCTCCATGGTGGCATTTTATCTGTTGCTTCTGTTCTTGACGTTGGCTGTCTCTGTCTACTCCTCAGGGCCGGTACACAGGGATCCTAACACCCTCTCCCAGCATCCAGCGGGCCCAGAGTTTGATGGAGCACCTGCGTGCAGTCAGTGCTCAGAGAGCATTTGGTGACTTGTCTCAGGGGAATTCTAGGATATTGCTACTTCTCAGGATTCTATAGCAACCCACTTGGGCCAGCAGGTGAGGGGGCTGCTGTCCTTTGGCTTCCTCTCTCAATGGGGCCTCTGAGGCTGCCTCCAGGCGCCATGCTGGGCACTGCCCTGCCTGAACGGATTCTATAGACTACAGAGCAGCCCAGCAAGCAGAAAGTGCAGTGTGTGGGCCCTGGTGGCCTGGCCCTTGGGGGCGTGGTCTCCAGCACATCATTCATGATCTGCAAACACCATCTTGTGGTTTTCTCAGGCTCTCAGAGGAGGAACTGGGGCTCAGGCCAGTGATAGGTCTTGCTTGCGTCAGCTCTGGAGGCTAGGTGTGGTCCCCTGCTACAGCTGTGCACAGCTCCACCGTCATCAGGTCCTTGTCCGTCCAGCCTCAGCTAGGTTTTTCCAGGCAGCGGCACAGGGTGCGCTGTCGTGTGCTTCTCTGTGCTTGGCAGTCTCCTGAAGATTGTTCTCTGTTGATTCCTGAAAAGCTGGCTTGTACTTGTTTGGGCTCTGTCTTTGGCAGAACATGGATGGGCCCGAGCACTGTGTGTGTGTTTCCCCTACGGATGTTGGGTCATTTCCAGTCTTCTGCAGCTGGCATTCTTACTGGCTGCTCCTAGAAGAGAGAGGCTGGGAGTGAGAAGCCCCCACCCAGGACTCCGCTCGGCTTCTCAGCACTCCAGTCGTATCTGCGTGGCAACGAATCAGTTTACAGATGAGGTGAGAGCTCTTGTGCCTTCACAAAGGGCCGAATGGCAGTAAGAACTGTAAGTTCTGCAGACCTGAAGCAGAGGTCAGGAGAGTCTAGGTTGGTAGTTTGGTTGGGAAGAGCTGCTGAAACAGAAAGTGGGAGGGAAGGACACTTTGGGGGGCAGTGGCTGTGGACAGCAGCACCGCCTGCCTCCCAGCTGTCTGCAGGTTTTTCTCACTGTAAAGGTCATCCATGCCTACTGATGGAGCTTCCACTGCTGCCCTAAGCCCTTTCTGAGCTGGGCTTCCTCTTTCTGAGCTGCTTGTGGGATTTGGTCAGGGCTCCGAATGCTGCCTGCTCCCAGGTGGCATTTTCTGTCCCCTGGGCCGAGTTGCAGCGTGTGATTGCATACTTGCCCCAGCTTTGCAGGAGCTGTGGCTGCAGGACAGGGAAGGCTATGTGGACATGACAGACCACTCAGGTGGCCAGCTGCCCCTGCAGATAGCAGGAGGGCCCCAGCAGGAAGTGCTTTTCAAGTGGTGAGCTTGATGGCTGTGGCTGGAACTTGCACCCTCCCGTCATTGGTCCCCCAGTGTCATTTTTCCTCTGAGAGCTGTGAATTTGAGACTTTGCCCCTGGGGTTTGAGGCTCCCATGAGGTTCCCTTAGAGGAAGGTGTTTTCATGGGCGGAACCTGGTGGACCTGCACCAGCCCCATGAGGCTGAGTGGAGAGTAGTGCAGGGTGGCACCCACCCGAGGGTGAGCACAGCAGCATGCTCTTCAAGGATGTGCTTTCCAGAGTCTAGAAGGAGGGCAGAGCTGGGGTCTCGGTGGGGAGACAGGTGCCGCCTCTTGCACTGACTGGCACCAGAGGTAGTTTGAGTGGCAGCTGCCTGGGAAAACATGCCGAAGCGGGAAGACCTAGTGTGGTGGGAACCAAATCACAGATACGCACTCTCCTGGCAAAGCCCTGTCTGATTCACCCGTGTGTCCTCAGCAGACACGACTGTGTGTTGGGGGTTGGGGGGTGGGCGAGGTGACTCAGCCGTGGACAGCATTAGAATGCTTAGCACATTGAAGGCAGACTGTCTGCTTCTGGGTGCCATCTGTGGTGTGTTTGGGTTTGGAAGGACAGCTTGCTTGCTGATGAACACTTCCACAGTCTTTGAGCTTAAGTGGTTTTTGTAAATTACTGTCTAGACCATTCTGCATTTTAAAACAAAACAAAAATTTTTTTTAAAAAATGACGACTTCCCCATTGTTGGTTTTTAAAGTGAACCAGTTTTTACAGGTGCTTTGCCACTAAGGCCTCAGCAGGGGCTGTTTTGAGCCCAAGGAGAAGGTTATATGAGCCGTGGGGCACGGTTGTAGTCCCATAGGCTGCCAGGGCAGTGCTGCTCACTGTCCAGGGTGATTGGGAGGGCTGGCCAGACACTGAGGCAGGGGGAGTGCAGAGCTACTGCAGTCTGTGCTCCATGTGCAGTGTTCCTAGGGCCAGCCTGGTGGGGAACGGGCTCCAGTGCCATCTGAAGCCCTGCTCTGGTGGCCCACGCATGCCTGGGTCGCCCTGGCCCTGCCTCTCAGGCATCCTGGGGACAAGGCAGAGATAGCATGGAGACCATGGAGGTGGCCCTGTGGGGGTTCAAGGAACTCTTTGTAACCTGTACATTTCAGTGCAGGGGCAGTCAGGAGAGTCTTTGCAGAGTGCTGACATCACTGCAGCCTGGTGGCACCTCGTACCCTTCACTCCACTTAGTCAAAGCACCAGATGGGCCCTATGTGTTGGGCAGCCATGCCAGGCTAGTGGAAGGCGAGGTTTCACCACCTTCTAGTCTACCCGGGACCTCCATTACCTTGCTGGCCCTCAGTTGCCTTATCTATACAGCGAGCTCGTGAGAATGAAATTCAGAACTTGGCCCCATGGTAACCCACCAGTGGTGGCCCTGTGCGAGTTGTGCCTGGTTGGGCCTGCCCAGGCTCAGCACCCTTGGGTCTGTTGGTTTGTCAGACCTTGGGCAGCACAGTTTCCCCTTTGCCACCATAGCTGCCATCCCAAGAGGCTGGGGATCTCAGGCAGGGTGGGAACATTTCAGATGCAGAGAAAATGGGGAGGCAAGCCAAGGAGGCCGCTTGGACTCCAAACTGAGTCTCAGTTCCTTGTTTCAGACCAGGGCTGGAAATCCCCTGCAGTAATTACTCAGGGCCTGGGGGTTTTACCAACGCACCCCTGTAATAAAGCGAGGAAGAGGCTGGTTGGTAGTGGGTCCACTCCACTGAGCAGGCCCCAGCTTTGCACTCAGACCCAGTGATCTTCACAGAATAAAAACTCGACACATGCCAAGGCCCAATTAAAATATTTGCTGACAGGTTTGGTTGGAAAGATGACTCCACATGCCCTGTTATAGGTAGGTTTTCGAAAGACAGTCTAGAGATCAGAGGTGTGACGGTTTCACAGGGGCCACAGAGGAGTGCTGCCAGCTGGCCTTTGGGGGAAACCTGGAAAGTTAGTTCTGAGCGGCCATGTTTATGGCTCAGCTGTGCCCAGAGCTATACAGACTGTACGATGTAGATCACAGATTGGGCGGGAGGCGGTGCTGACTGGGGCTGGGCAGGGCGTGGAGTGATGGCTGTCCCTTCCCTGGGTTACTGTTGGCTCATTGTTATGTTTCTTCCCTTCCAGGACAGAGTGACCTAGCCCCTGCCCCTCCTTGCCAACTCCTCCCTCCTGGTCTGGGCCACTTAAGGGCCTCTCCTTTCTGTGGTGATGGTTGTCCTGGGCTCCCTCCTGGTGCAGGTCAGGCCTCTCCCTGCAGAAAGGAACTGTCGACCTAGTGCATGCCCCTGGTTCAGCCTCTCTTTGGCTTCCTTTAGAAGAGAGGTGTGAGGCACCTGAGAGTTGGACTGATGTGCACAGCTGGCATGGGCACTCAGAGTTCCCCTCTCCAGCCCCAGGGCTGCCTGCTGTTTCTGCACAGGGTCTGTTAAGCAGCAGCCCAGTACCAGGGTAGGGGGAGTTTGGTGAGGGGCTACTGGGGTCTCACCAGATAGATGGTGTTGTGCAGTTGGACTCAGGAAGCTTGAGACAGGCTCACATGGAGGGAGGTGGCATCATACCCAGCCCTTGGCCCTTGCTGCCTTACTCGGGGGCCAGACGGGGGACCATGAAGCCAATATGAGGAGCTGGAAACAGGTATTTGCTCACTTCCCCTTTAGATGGCTGCCAGTCCTTCTAGATCAGTGAACTCTCCCAAACAAATGCTAGGAAATAGATGTATTTTCTCATCTTTATTTGTGACAGTTTTCAAGCATAAAAGTAGAGAAAGGTAACCTTATCCTGCTTCAGTAGATAGCTGCTTACAGCCATGTGACTGTTTCACCTTTCTCCCTCCCGTCACTCGCTCTAGGGGATGATTCTGTAGCAAATTTCAGACTGTATTATTTTTCAGGAACAAGGAGGATTTGTGGTGGATCTTTAATGACTCCCACGGAGCATGGCGTGCTGTGAAGTCGTACACAGGGTTCCCCACTGCTCCTGGGGTGTGGGAGAATGAGGTGTCGCATGCTCACGCAGCTCCAGGCACCTGACCCAGCCTGCTTCTGAGGGGTTTCAGCCCCTCCCTCAGGCTGTTTCTGTGCGTGTCCAGCCCCGCCTCCCTTCTTCACATTTCCTATGAGCAGAACAGCACATGTCACCAGTTAGGATGGCTGGAATTGTGGCTTAGCACAGGCTATGGGGCACTCGGAGAAAAAGATGCCAGCCTTTTTGGAAGCCTTTCTTAGTTCTTATGTGGAAGGATGGCCACAGAAGAGCCCTGGGACATGCAGACCTCCTGTGGTCTTGGGTGAGAAGTTGTCCCCTCCAGGCCCCCCATGCATGTGTTCCTGGGACATCCCCGAGGTATGGGTGCCTGGGTGCTGAAGGCTGTGCTGGTGGCCCCTGGTTCACCCTCTGCCTGGATGCAAACCATTCTGTCTCGGTATCTGTGCTAGCTGTGATGCCCATGGCCTCAGACCAGGCCTCCCCACTTGGTTTCTCTGAGATTTCAGAAAGCCGAGATTGACAGTCACATTCCTGTTGGCCCATGTGTACCTGATCATGCCTCATGGATCTCTATTCTAAGATCTGAACATGTTCAGTGTGACAGTGAAGTCAATTCCATCAACATTCCAGCCTAGGCGGCTAGGCTGGACCTGCATGTATGCCTGTGCCACACCTGGTCCCACCTGCTAACTTCTTGGCCTGCCTGCCTTTGGAACAGGCACCTCAGGGAGGTCCCACCTGCTTCCCAAGTGCTCTCTGCTGCATTTACCCCTGCCCTTCTAGTAGCTGCCTGGAGGTGCACCCCCCTACCCCTGACACCTTTGCCCTTCACAGGCACTTCCCGCAGCAATGAGGAGTCCAAACTGAGGAAGATTGAGTGGGCAGGGCAGTCAGCGTTGGTAGAAAGGGGAAGCAGCACCTGTCTTCACGATGGTTAAGCAAGTGCAGACTCATCTGCATCTATTGAGGAGTCCCTAGTGGAGAAGTGAGAGGCTGCAGTTCCTGGTGGGATTCCTGCCCCTTTGGGAAAGCCACTTGGCAGGTGTTTTGAGAGGTTTTTTTTGGACTGGGAACAAATCCCAAGGGAGAATACTAAGGAGGAGGGGGCCTCCAGTGTGCCAGGTTATTCCTGACTGCAAGACACTGCAATTGGCCTATGGGCCAGAGATGTGGCCCTGGCGAGCCTGAAGAGCTGCCCTAAAGCCATCCTTTGAGGGCATCGCCTGGAGTGGCTCCCCATGTGGAGTCAAACTGTGTCTACGCTGGGATTAGGATCTAGTGTACCTCCCAAGACAGATGGACAGGTGCCAAGGGCATCCCACAAACAGGGCAAAGGCAGGTGGCCTGTGGGGGCAGTGGCTAAGGTGGATGGAAGACAGGTTGTGAAGGAGCTACCTTGGGTCTTTTGGGTCTGTTTTTCTTCCCAGTGTCCTCACCCTGGCCCCTCCCTGCTGCTGCAGGCCTTTGGTGCTGTCTGGCTAGCTCCCTGCCCATCCTTCTCCAGCGCTTTTCTGCTCTCCAGCCTGGAGGTCAACCTCCAGCCCTGATGGACACAGCTCGCTCTGCCTCCTCCTTTTTTGACCTCCCTGGGAGGCCACCTTGGATGCTGCCCACCCCTGTGGCCTGCCCCAAGGGTTCATGCTGGACTTAGCAGGCCTGGAGCCTGAGCAGGAGGCTCTCCTCAGCCACATCCGAGTCCTAGTGTGTCTGCCACCCACAGGGGACCCCTAGCAAGGGTGGGAGGCCTGCCACTCCTGGGGGGAAGAGAGTTGGTTGTTAAGGCAGGGTCCCCAGGGCCAGGAGCCAGCTCACATTTTGCTCCAGTTGGTTGCTAAGTGTTCTTTGGGACAGACTGTGGCCATCTGTAAAGAGGCTTTGTGGAGCCTTCCGTCTCAGTGTGCCTGGGCTTGGGGCAAGGAGTGGGGGCCAGGCCCTTTGCAGGGAATCCTCGCTGCGTTGCTCAGCATCTACCTCCTGGGCTTGGGAGGCCTGTGTCTAGAATGCCCAGGTGGCACTCTCCACCCAGTGCTCAGACTGCTTGACATCAAGGCCCAAGAGGTTGCAGGGCAGGGCAGCCTCACGTCACCCCCATCCTTGCTCTGCTAACATCACTGACCACCTTGAGCTGGCTCCAGGGAGCGGCCACATTGGACACTCACCCTCTCTCTGTCTTACACAACACACATTTATCGTCTCAGGCTCTAGGGCTCAGAAGTTAGGTCCAGGCTCATCGGGCTGGGATCCAGGCAGCAGCGGGCTGTGCTCCTCTCTGGGGGATCCGTTCCTGCCCCTTCAGGTGTTGGCAGAGTTCACCTGTTGACGGTGTAGGACTGTGGGTTTCTTGCACCTTACAGGTACAGCAGATGGGCTCCTCTACTCCTCAGGCAAGCAGCTCACACGCTAGGGGCAGAAAGAGGACTGCCAAGGAGGTCGCATTTCCCTTGGGGCTGAAAGCCCAAGGGCCTCCTGGAGGCTGAAGGCCTCTGTGCACACGCTTAAGTATGGCTCATAAGGCAGCTCCAAGTGCCAGGGCCCTCAGAGCTTCACCTGGTGTCCCCAGCTCCCATGCAGCTTCCAGGAGGCTCTTGGGGCTGGCTGTTGGTTCAGCAGTGATTTCTGGGGTGCCAGACCCTGGGGTTGCCCGACCCTGGGGTTGCCCAGGTGTTCTGCCTCCTCCCTCCTGTCTGGCAGCAGGATGGTATCTGCCCAAGGACAAGGACACTTTGTGCCACCAGGCTAGCTGGGCCTGGGCAGTGTTCTGTTCTGCAGGACTGCTGGTTCAGGAGTATGTGGGGAACCAGAGCTCCAAATATACCAGGGTGAGGTCACCAGTGTGGAAGTGAAGCCATGTGGCAAGTCCAGGGACTGAGTCGGTGCTGGAGTCCTTGGCCCAGGAGCAGCTGGCCTTGCTGTCTGTCTGGGACCGGCCTCCTCACTGTGCAGTCCTCCCTTTCACTGAATCCCTGCCCATCGCACAAGGAGTGAGGACAGGACTGCATCTCCTCAGACCACCACCCACCCCCACCCTCACCTTGACGCAGCTGGGAGTAGGGTTTTCAGGGTCATTTGGAGCCCTGAACGAGAACATTGCAAGGCAAGGATGTTGTTGCCAAGGAATAAATGGGACCATTGGCAGAGGGGCAGCTTTGTGGCAGCTCTGTGGCCACTCTGCAACTTTACACCCAGAGGAAACAACACAGGGAGGGTAGTGGCTGCCTTGTGCTGGAAGTGGGGCAGAAAAGCCAGAATCCATGAGGCCAGCAGAATTAACAGCCCTCAAGGACATGCATGTTCTAGTCCTGGAGCCTGGGCATGTCATACCGTACATGACAGATGAAACTAAGGGAAGAGCCTGGAGATGGGGAGATGACCCAAGATCTGGACCAGCCCTGCCTAGTCAGGGAGTTCTTAGAGATGGCACCTATCCTGGCTGAGCCAGAGAGATGCCGGGTGAGGACTCGGCCTGCAGCTGGCTTTGAGCATAGAGGGGGAGGGCCTGTGAGCTGAGGGATGCAGTGCCCTCCAGAAGCTGGGAATGGCCGCTGGATGACAACCAGCAAGAAAGCAGGTGCCTCATTGCTACAGTGTAAAAAGCTGAACTCTGCTAACACCTGAAGGAGCAGGAAATGAGGATCCCAGCCCAGTGAGACCTAGACCTGACTTCTGAGCCCTAGAGCCTGAGATGATAAATGTGGCTAAGATGCCAAGTTTATAATCATGTGTTACAGAAACTCATGCCACGCAGTCTTGGCAGTGATATGGCCTGGTGGGAATGGAATAGAGCAGCCTCCCTGGGTACGAGGTGACCACCCTGCACGGATGTGGAACCCAAGCTTCTCAGCCCAGAGTCAAGTCTGTCATTGTTGTCAGTTGCAGCCTTGTTTTGTAATGGCAAATGGAAAGTGCCTAAGTGTCCAACATTCAAGTCAGGCCTTTTCCCCCCTCTGGAAGGCGTGGTGAGCCAAATGAGGGGCTCTGTTTGGAGCCGAACATTTCTGATGTGAAGTCAGAAAGGGCAAAGCTCAGAACCACGGTCAGTTTGGTTTTGAAATGTGTGGTAAGTGTAGATATATACACCTGTATACAAAAGGGATATTTTTGGAAAAAATGCAAGGAAACACTATAGTGGCTGGGTCAGAGATGCCCATTTCCTTGTGTGCTTTTTTATGCTGTTTTAATTTGTATCTTGTGCCCACTTTACTCCATCATGTTCTGGGGGGTAGTTGTGTAATCTCACTGTGGTTTCTTTCCCTAGGGCCCCTGGGCCCTCACCCACCAGCCAGCCCACCACAAACCTGTAGCTGCCGGAGGTGGTGGTTGAGCTGTAGGAATTCTTGCTGTAACAATTAAAGCAGTAATGTGTGGCGAGTGCTTAGAACAAGGTGGAGCTCCTAGCAAGATCCTAAAAGGGAAGGATTCCCTGGTCATGGGATGTGTGCGTGCTTCACTCTGCCAAAGCCCAGCAGTCCCCAACATCGGCTGTGCCCCCCCGAAGTACCTAGTATTGTTAAATACCATTCCTTGCCAATGGGGTGCATGTCATGTATCCATTTGTGGGTTCAGCATGTGTTTTCCTGGCTATTGATAAAGCTGAGAAGTGGAGCATTAGCCCTGACATTTCACTGCGCTGTCCCTGTTCCTGTCTGGTGGCCGCTGTACGCCGGGCTCCTGGTCAGCTGCATTGCTGCACAGGTATTCTGCGTGTTCTAGATACAGCTCCTTGGGGCCTGTGGCCTATGTCTTTTCCCACTTTGTGACTTTCTGCTCTCTTTGTGGTGTCTTTGAATGAAGAGGTCTTGTTAATGCATTCAAATTGACCAGTTTATTATGTATTTATCTTTTTTGGTTTGGGTTTTTGTTTTTGCTTTTGTTTTTGAGATGGAGTCTCACTCTGTCACCAGGCTGGAGTGTAATGGCACGATCTTGGCTCACTGCAACCTCCACCTCCCGAGTTCAAGCGATTCTTCTGTCTCAGCCTCCCAAGTAGCTGAGACTACAGGCACGTGCCACCACACTTGGCTAATTTTTGTATTTTTAGTAGAAACGGGGTTTTACTATGTTGGCCAGGCTGGTGTCGAGCTCCTGACCTCATGATCTGCCTGCCTCAGCCTCCCAAACTGCTGGGATTACAGGTATGAGCTTCCACTCCTGGCCTATATATTGATCTTCTAAGCTTTGTGCATTTTATTCAATGAATTCTTCAGTGTCCCCTCTCCCACTCCCATCATATGGCAGAGTAGAGGTCGTCTTAACTATCAGGAGCAGCTCTGATTTAAGAGTCCTGGGTTTCAGCAGGTAGGTGGGTGGGTATGCACTGTGTAAGGGCTTGGGGCAGACCACACACCATGCACTAGAGGAGGTCGAACGGCAGGTGGGGATGAGCACTGGGTGCCAGGTTGGCCCAGGGAGCAGGTAGGAGACTACCTGGAGTGTGGGCTTCAGTGCTTCCAGCTCCTCTTGCTCTGGGGTTGGGGAGAGACCCAAGCAGCCTGGGGCTGGGTGTCTCAGCCTCCCAGGGGGAGAGGACAGGCACCTAACAAATGGCTTTTTATTTCCACAGATCCGGAACATGGTGGCGGTGCTGGAAGTCATCTCCAGCCTGGAGAAATACCCCATTACCAAAGAGGCACTTGAGGTGAGTATCCCACACCCCAGCATGGGGGAGGGCAGAACGGGGGGCAGGGGGCGGCTCCAAACCAGGTCCTTGGGAACATCAGTCTCTTTGCTTCAGAGGACCAAGAGAGGCAGTGTGCCGTCACAGCATGTGCCCCACGATCATGGTCTCCCATGGGCACTGCAGGGACGGAGTGATGTTAATCCCATCCTGCATGCCCACTTTGTGGGCACGTGGGGGACATCGGGAGAGGTGTGCTTGGGGAAGGCTCCAGTGAGTGGCACCATCCCCAGCCCTCCACTTGAAGCAGGCCCTCTGTGCTGTCACCTTGGCAACGGCACCCTCTCACCCAGAAAGCCTCTCTGGCAGTGTCCTTGCAGTGACCTGACGGGCCACAGCCCCCTGGCACCGGAAGCACTGCCAAGAAGCCACCTGTGACCCTTAAGGTCTGGGGACTGGGTTCAGAAAATATTGTCACAAAGGGCCAGAAATCCCCAGAGGTTGTGTCGGGGAGCTGGCAGTTTAGGGCTCAGTGCGAATGGGGTCATTTCAGAGTCAGGGCCACTTCCCACCATTTCTGGCTCAGCTTGTGGGGAAGCCCCTGTCTTGAAAGTATGTCATCATCTCTTTCTGGTTGTAGGAAACACGGCTTGGGAAGCTCATCAACGACGTCCGCAAGAAAACCAAGAACGAGGAGCTCGCCAAGCGGGCCAAGAAACTACTTCGGAGCTGGCAGAAGCTCATCGAGCCAGCACACCAGCATGAGGTGGCACTGCGGGGGCTGGCAGGGGCCACTGGCTCTGCTAACGGGGGCGCACACAACTGCCGGCCAGAGGTCGGGGCGGCCGGCCCGCCCAGGAGCATCCACGACCTGAAAAGCCGCAATGACCTCCAGAGGCTGCCTGGGCAGCGGCTGGACAGACTGGGCAGCCGCAAGCGCCGGGGTGACCAGCGTGACCTTGGCCACCCGGGGCCGCCACCCAAGGTCTCCAAAGCTACCCATGACCCCCTGGTCCCCAACTCATCCCCCCTCCCCACCAATGGGATCAGTGGGAGCCCAGAGAGTTTCCCCGGCTCCCTGGATGGCAGCGGGCATGCAGGCCCGGAGGGCAGCCGCCTGGAACGTGGTGAGAACGACAAGCACGGTGGCAAGATCCCCATCAATGCCGTGCGGCCACACACCAGCTCCCCAGGCCTGAGTAAACCCCCTGGGCCCTGCTTGCAGGCAAAGGCTTCAGTGCTGCAGCAGTTGGACAGGGTGGACGAGACTCCAGGGCCTCCCCACCCCAAGGGGCCCCCTCGCTGCTCTTTCAGTCCTCGGAACTCACGGCATGAGGGCTCCTTTGCCCGGCAGCAGAACTTGTATGTACCTAAGGGCTCCATGCCCAGCCCCTCACCACGGCCCCAGACACTTGATGCCACACAGGTGCCGTCACCGCTTCCACTGGCACAGCCGTCCACACCCCCTGTGCGGCGGCCTGAGCTGCTGTCCAGCTCGGAAAGCCCAGTACGCTGGCTTGAGCAGCCTGAGAGCCACCAACGGCTGGCAGGGCCAGGCTGCAAGGCTGGGCTATCCCCGGCCGAGCCCCTCCTGTCCCGGGCAGGCTTCTCCCCAGACTCCTCCAAGGCGGACAGTGATGCTGCCTCCTCTGGGGGTTCGGACAGTAAAAAGAAGAAGAGGTACCGGCCTCGAGACTACACGGTTAACTTGGACGGGCAGGTGGCCGAGGCGGGCGTCAAGCCTGTCCGGTTAAAAGAGCGGAAGCTCACCTTTGACCCCATGACAAGACAGATCAAACCTCTGACCCAGAAAGAGCCAGTGCGGGCAGACAGCCCTGTGCACATGGAGCAGCCGTCCAGGACAGAGCTGGACAAGCAGGAGGCCAAGGCCAGCCTCCAGAGCCCCTTCGAACAGACGAACTGGAAGGAGCTGTCACGCAATGAGATCATCCAGTCCTACCTGAGCCGGCAGAGCAGCCTGCTCTCATCTTCGGGCGCACAGACCCCGGGGGCTCACCACTTCATGTCTGAGTACCTGAAGCAGGAGGAGAGCACCCGGCGAGGGGCCAGGCAGCTGCACGTGCTGGTGCCTCAAAGCCCGCCCACGGACCTCCCTGGGCTGACCCGGGAGGTCACACAGGACGATCTAAACAGAATCCAGGCCAGCCAGTGGCCGGGGGTGAACGGGTGTCAGGACACACAGGGTAACTGGTATGACTGGACGCAGTGCATATCGCTCGATCCTCACGGTGACGATGGGCGCTTGAACATTCTGCCTTATGTCTGCTTAGACTGACCGGCCCGTCAGCCACAAAGTGCATTCCCATCTTGCAGAAGCCAGGCGGGCAGGCAGGTGGGCGGGTGGCCAGGGCCCAGCTGCCTCCTGCGGCTGGGAACTCGGGGAGCCCGGCCTGGGCAGGAGGGAGGGGGCGGGAGTCATGTGGTCTCTCTGTGCACCCTTCCCTCAAAACTCTCCTTTTGTGAAATGCTGCTACCAGTTTACTAACAAAATTGCGAAGGAAGGACCGTGCGGAAGGAAGGACGGCAAAGTGAGTTCAGAACTCTATAGCAAACCAGCTATAAAAAGCGTTAGTCCCTCACCCCTGAAGAGGTGCGGACACTTTCCAGCACCTGAATGCTGGGACCTCAGTTGCAGGCAGGCACAGAAAACCTGTGGGAGAGGTTACCTTTAACACAGCAACAGAAGCACGCATCTCATCTCTCTTGCATTTCCTGTTCTTTAATTTGGCCCCGAGTGTCTGAGAGACAGTGGGCCATGCCACAGCCTCTGTTTGCCCCTACCCAGCCACTGTCAGGCCAGTGTTGTCCATCGTGTGCCAGAAGCTCCTCAGCTGTGGCGAGCCACTGGCATTGGGCAGAGAGGCCAGCTGGCTAACCAATATGACCCCAACTCCATGGGCAGCCACCTGTTTATATCTGGTTTCAGTTATAACCCAGTATTTACAGAAATGCTGCAGAAATTTAAGTTTTTTTGGGTTTAACTCCTCTTCCATCAGACCACCAAACAAACTTTTCCTTTCTTCCCCCCTTTCCTTTTTTCCCTTCCTGTACACATCTAGAAAACTTCACCTTTCTAGAGTCCCCCCTAAACAACACAAAAGTTACTGTGGGTGCTACTGGTTTTATGCTGTACTGTGGGGCGAGAGGGCAGACCTGTCTGTACGCTGGAAACACTCATAACCATTCCTTTAGATTCGTTTGCCTTATGGTTATTTGTCATAAACGCGATTTGCAAAAACAAGGAGCCTTAGTGAATGTACAGTACATAGACTTCTGTGTTCTCAGGACGCAGAAGGGAGCAACTTTGCTATTTGGTCCAGTAAGTGGACACCTTGTGATATAAATGTGGAAATAAAAAAACCCATTTGCACAAACCAGTATGAGAATCTTTTCTTATTTGGCCCTTCACTGCCAAATCAGCCCTTTCCTGGATTGTGGATTAGCCAGGAAGACCTAGACCCTCCAACAGCTGGGATATAGGGAGACAGGGTAGGGCATAGCCTTGAAATCCACCTGTTAGCCTGCTGCTGCATTTGGGAGGAACCTTTTATTCATTCAGGGGCACATTAAGGAACGTTTATCTTGTCTCACCCAGACCTGACTGGCGTAGAGAGCAGGCTCCATAGCACAGGTCTCTGACTACTCCCACCTCAACAAAGTTCTTACAAGGGATGGCCCAGAGGCTCAGAGCTGTGTGTGTGTCCGGCAGCCCAGCCCTTGGCCCTGGCCCTCAGCTGCCTTACTAGCTGGTTGGTGCTGACACCAAAAAAATGTTTCTCTCTTGGCTATGGAGTGGTAATATTTTAGTTGTCCCTCATCCCCAAAACTGTAAGCTAAGACTGGTTTTCTAGTTTCTCACTTTGGAATAGGTCATCTTACCTATATCTGCTTAATTTCACAAATGAAAAAACAGCTACATCTTAAGACATGCAGCACTACAGAGCAAACCAAAGGTTCCTTTCAGCCTGTAAAACTCCATTCAGCCCAAAGCCAGTTTCAGAGCTAGCAGGGATTTCTGGCAAAAGCTTGGTGCCAGGACACACCCCTTCCCCAAGAAAAGGCCATGGGCGGAGTGGCTTTGAAGGCAGGATGAGGTTGAACCCAGGCTGCCACCCACTAGCTGTGTGTCCGAACCATCTCTTCACTCCTATGCACATGTCCCCATTTGGGGGGTGAAAATACCCCAGAGTTAAGAGAACTAAAAGTATGTCAGTGGAAGTGTCTGACACTCAGCTGTGCTGTAGGGTGCCTGTAGTTATACCACTGTGCCCGTGTTTAACAGCTCTGCTGATATGTGGTGTCCCAAGGACGTGACATTGCTCTGATACACAGGGCACAGCTGGAGGATATTAGGGTGCAGAGCTTGGCTTCCTACCGGCATCTCTAGAGCTTTGGGATGGGCTGCAGCTCCCCCTGCCCCTGCCTGCAGGGACTACCACACCTGTCTCCATGTATCCAGGAGGGCCTAGGGGGGTACTAATGTTGCTACCTTTGAGAAGGCAAGGGTAAGCTAAGATACCCTACATTTGGGGGACCAAGTTGGGTTGCTGCTTTCTTCTTTGAGACCAGGTCTCGCTCTGCCACCCAGGCTGGAGTGCAGTGATGCCATTATAGCTCACTGCAGCCTTGACCTGGGATCAAGCCAGCCTCAGCCTCCCTAGGAGTGGGGACCACAGGCATGCACCACCACACGTGGCTAATTTTGGTATTTTTTGCAAAGACGAGGTTTTGCCATGTTGCCAAGGCTGATCTCCAACCTCTGAGCTCAAGCAATCCGCCCGCCTTGGCCTCCCAAAGTGCTGGGATTACAAGCTTGAATCACCCTGCCCAAGGTTACTGCTTCTAATTGGACAAGTAAAAACACTGTAACGAAATTTTAACACACTCTCCCCGAAAAAGTTGGAGTCACACGATTTGGGGAACAAAATTATCGTCCTTGAATTAGTATAAGTTCATCTTCCTGAAAACCTCGACTGTTTTCCTCCACTGGGGCCAGGGGCTGGTCCATCCCTCTTGGTCCTTGGGCATCAGGGGTCAGGGCTTGGCACCTCCTCTTTCTGCAGAGCCTTGGAGACAGGTGTCCAAGGACGCTGCCATGGCCACGGTCCCGAGTGGCAGGGGAGCCTAAGACAAGTAGCTTCCCCATTCTGGTCTTCGGTCTGTGAAATGGGGATAGTGATACCTACCGCACGGCCTTCCTAGTATTCAGTGGAATGATACCAGGGCCAGACCCGAGAACTGCGCACGTCGCGGTGGTTTCCAGAACACAATTTCAGGGACCAGGCGCTCCGGGATAGTCCCACTGCCAGAGTTGGCCACGGGCGTGCACCCCCACTTTGCAGAGCGAGTTTAGCCCAAGAGCTTTTCACAACTGGTTTCTTTCCCCAAAAGGTCTTTTACCTTAGATGTCCGCCGCCGCCAGCCACTAGGAATCAGGAATCTAGTTAGGGGGTGCCCATGTACCCCTCGTCGAGGCCCTGATGTTTGGCCCACGCACAGACGCCAACGATGCGAAGCCCTCCTCACTCCTGCTCGCCAGATCCGCTCGAGCTCTGGCTCCGGGTCACCGGGACCGCCCACGTCTCGGGTAGCACAGCTTGGACCCAGGTCTGCGTCCCCTTCTTTCGCTTCCGGCCTCGGCTCCGCCCTTACCGGAAGCGCATCTACAGTGGGCGGGGCCTGCACTAGAGACGTGATGGCTGGTGCGTCGGCCGGCGCGGGGGAATGACGCAAAGAGTCAGCGACCATTGGAAAGCGGCGTCGACCAGAGTGCCCGCCCCTGCCCAGCCCCGCCCCCGCCCGGCGTCGGGCAGTCAGACGGGCGGGAAGAGGCGGCCGCTCAGACAGGATGGCGGCTGCTGCGATGGGCGCGGGCCCCGACGCGGGGGGCCCGGCTGCAGCGAGCAGCGGTGGCGGGGCGCGCGAAGGCGCGCGGGTGGCGGCGCTGTGCCTGCTGTGGTACGCGCTGAGCGCGGGCGGCAACGTGGTCAACAAGGTGATTCTGAGCGCCTTCCCGTTCCCGGTGACCGTGTCGCTGTGCCACATCCTGGCGCTGTGCGCGGGGCTCCCGCCGCTCCTGCGCGCCTGGCGCGTGCCCCCCGCACCACCCGTCTCGGGCCCCGGGCCCAGCCCGCATCCGTCTCCCGGCCCGCTCCTGCCGCCGCGCTTCTACCCGCGCTACGTGCTGCCACTTGCCTTCGGCAAGTACTTCGCATCTGTATCAGCGCACGTCAGCATCTGGAAGGTGCCCGTGTCTTATGCACACACCGGTAGGTTCCGCGCCCGGCCTGAGGGGCGGCGGCCAGGGCGCACCGCTTGGGGTTTGGGCGCACGGACAGGAGTGCGCCGGCCCGGGGGCGTCCTGCCGGACTGAGTAATCAGCACAGGTGCTGCCAAGGCTTTTGCTAGGGGAGGGACACGCACAGGGTTCTCAGGGAGAAAAGGGGCTGAGAATAGAGCTTTCTCTACCTACCGAAAGATAAGGGGTGAAGAGGTCAGGGGCTGCCAAGCCCTCCCATCCCACCGTGGAGGTGGAACAGGCTGGGCCCTGGAACTCAGACAGCCCCCTGAGTGCCCTTCCCTTTCTTTGCAGTCAAGGCCACCATGCCCATCTGGGTGGTCCTCCTGTCCCGGATCATTATGAAGGAGAAGCAGAGCACCAAGGTAACCCCGGGCAGGGACTCTGGGCAGATGGGAGCTCCAGGGGGTTCCTCCCTGTAGCCAGCTGGTGACGTGGTCAGAATCCTGGTCTGCAGGCTGCTTGGCTTCCTGTCAAATAGGGAAGTGTAGAGGCCTCCAGTGGCCTTTTACTCCTCATGTTCTACAATCACCCTGTGGGCAATGGTGTGTGGAGTATGTGTCCCTCTGCGATCTCTGCTGTGTTCTCTTAGGAACTGTTGTCCCTTTCGGATCCAATTTTCCTCCCCGTTTTGATTCCCTACCTGTGTTTGTTGGTAGGTAACGGCTTGGTCACATCTTGGCCAGACACCCCATGTGTGGCCTTTCCAGTGGGACTAGGAGCAGATTGGAACGCTATCTGATAGGTTTTCACTTCCTTTTTTTTTTTTGAAATGGAGTCTCGCTGTATCACCCAGGTTGGAGTGCAGTGGCACAATCTCGGCTCACTGCAACCGCTGCTCCCGGATTTAAGCGATTCTCTTGCCTCAGCCTCCCAAGTAGCTGGGACTACAGGTGTGCACCACCACGCCTGGCTAGTTTTTTTGTATTTTTAGTGGAGACAGGGTTTCATCATGTTGCCAGACTGGTCTCGAACTCCTGACCTCAAGTAATCCACCCGCCTCAGCCTCAATTACAGGTGTGAGCCACTGTGCTTGGCTAGGTTTTCAGCTCTTTACGAGAGATCTGTCAGGGGACCTCTGGGGTCAGAAGGCAGACACAATCAAAGGAGTTCGATCTTGGCAAAATTCGGCAAAGTCTTAGAAATTAAAACAGCCAGAAGTTGTGACGGTCTGGGAACAGAAGTGAAAGCGGCACACAGGACTTAGGGCTGCATAAGGAGGATGCTTTTGGCACAGTCCAAGTTCTGTTCAAGATGCCAAGCCAGGGTATTTCCTGACTTGGGGCAAGAATAGCCATGGCTGTAGCCGGAGACAGCTTTGCCGCGTATCCTTAAGTGGAAGTCGGGCTCCTGTTGTCCCAGCTGGAATCCATTTCATGCTGGACACCATGCGTCTTTTCCAAGTGGTTGGTTTCTGGCATCTTGTGTTTTATGTAACTCAGAGAGGCATTGCCCTGGATCAGCTTATAGAAATTGGGCCACCTACGGCTGATTTTTTTTTTTTCATTCCAGCCTGTCTTTGCCCTAGCAAGACCTGTGTGCGCTCTGCAGCCCCGCTCCCCCAGGGCGATGTCAGGCTGGGACTTGGCTGCTGGGAGATCAGAGTTGTCCTGGAGGTGTGTAGCTGCATCCCGGGATATCACATCGTGTTTATCAGGCTTCCCCGTTGTACGGGACATTGTACCCAGCTTGGGCAAGGAGCCAGAAACTTTACACAGTGAGGAAAGACTGGGAATTGGCCGGGTTAGGCAGCCAGACTAATGATAATGACATCATAACTTCTAGGAAGCCACCCCGAAAGGCAGATAAGGCAGGTAGTCATCGTTCCTGATCTCAGGTTTTCCTGAGATGGACTGAAAGGGGAGAGTCACATGCCTGAGGACCACAGCCTGATAGTGGGGAAGCTGGAATTCAGGTCCACAGCCTTCGCTCTGCCCTCCCTGAGGTGTGATCACTCCCTCCTAAAATCTCCACCTCTCCTACCTCTTCTTAAGAGTGTTCTGGGCCGGGTGCGGTGGCTGACACCTGTAATCCCTGCACTCTGAGGGGTGGATCACAAGGTCAAGAGATCGAGACCATCCTGGTCAACATGGTGAAACCCCGTCTCTACTAAAAATACAAAAATTAGCTGGGCATAGTGGCTCGTGGCTGTAATCCCAGCTGCTCGGGGGGGCTGAGGTGGGAGAATTGCTTGAACCGTGGAGGCGGAGGTTGCGGTGAGCCAAGATCGAGCCATTGCACTCCAGCCTGGGTAACAAGAGCGAAACTCCGTCTCAAAAAAAAAAGAGAGAGAGTTCCGTTGTTTTTGTTTTTTCTTTTTCTAAGACACAGTCTCACTCTGTTGCCCAGGCTGGAGTGCAGTGGTGTGATCTTAGCTCAGTGCAGCCCCTGCCAACTGGGTTTAAGCGACTCTTGCCTCAGCCTCCCGAGTAGGTGGCATTACAGGTGCACACCATCACACCCAGCTAATTTTGTCTTTTCTTTTTCTTTTTTTTGAGTGGCTGAAACAATAAATATTTATTTCTCACAGTTCTGGAGGCTAGAAAGTTCACAATAAAAAGTATAGGCCAATTTAGTTCCCTGGGATAGGCCCTCTTTCTGGTTCCAAATGGCTGTCTTCTCATTGTAACCTCACATGGTGGAGAGCAGAGAGAGCTAGCTCTCTGGCCACCTCTTCTAAGAGCACTAATCCCATCTATAGGGGCTCAACCTCAGGACCTAATTATCTCCCAAAGGCTCCACCTTCAAATATTATCACACTGGAGATAAGGCTTTAACATGTACATTTGGGGGACAGGGGCATAAACATTCAATCCATAGCATAGCCTGAAATTTGACTGAGTCCTTTTAATCGTTTCAGTATTTATTAAGTCTTTAAGATCATCGCTATAGAAAATGGTATCATCGGCAAATATAGTTTTACATTTTCCTTTCTAATATGGATAACTTTTATTTATTTATTTTCTTGCTCTATTGCCCTGTCTAGAACCTACTGCAGTACAATACTGAATGGAAATAGTGAGGGGGCACTCTTGTCCTCTTCTTATACTTAGGGGAAAGATTTCAGTCCTTCACTGTGGAATGTGAATTTAGCTTGAAGAAGTTCTCTTATCTTGAAGAAGTTCCCTTCTATTCCTAGTTTGTTGACAGGTTTATTGTTATTATTATTTTAATTTTTGTATTTTCAATAGATGCAAAGTTTCACCATGTTGGCCAGGCTGGTCTCGAACTCCTGACCTCAAGTGATCTGCCCTCCTTGGCCTCCCAAAGTGAAGACTGTTCTTTGTAGGACAGGGTTGAGCCAAGAGTCAGAAGAGCTGGACATGGGGGAATGGATCCCAGTGGATTCTAGAAGTTGGGAGTTGTTTAGCCTCACATGCCACACCTTCAGGAAGGCTTCCTGTCACTATGTTTGCTCCTCATTCATTCAGCTAGCAGCCATTGAGTGCCTGCTACGTGCCAAGCACCAGAATAAAGCAGCGAAGAAGGACCTGCCCTAAGGTTGTACAGTTTACCGGGACTGGGTGATATAACAGGCAGTTTGAGTGGATGGAGAGTTCTCTGCTGGGGAAGCCCAGGCAGTGGCCCTGGGAATGCAGCACAGGAGCCTCCCAAGGTGGAGGTGGGTTGTAGAAAGCTCTCCTTGTGGAGGCAGGAGGTCTAAGGACAAAGGAGGTCACCAGGAGGAAAAAGCATCAGTGGAGTGTCCCAGCCAGGAGTAACCGTGCTAGAAGAGCCTGAAGTAAGAGGAAACAGGGCCGTGTGCGGTGGCTCACGCCTGTAATCCCAGCACTTTGGGAGGCCAAGGTGAATGGATCACCTGAGGTCAAGAGTTTGAGACCAGCCTGGCCAACATGGCAAAAACTGTCTCTACTAAAAATAAACAAAAAAATCAGCCGGGCGTGGTAGCACATGCCTGTAATCCCAGCTCCTGGGGAGGCTGAGGCAGGAGAATTGCTTGAATTCAGGAGGTGGAGGTTGCAGTGAGCCAAGATTAAGCCACTGCCCTCCACTGGGCAACAGGGCAAGACTCCATCTCAAACAACTTAAAAAAAAAAAAGGGGGCTAACACCCTTTTTGACCTTAGCCCACCTGCACCCAGGTGAATTTTAAAAATAATTAATTTTTGAAAAATGGAACAGGAAGTCTTGTAGAGGATCAGGGCTTCAAACCCCGGTGCGACCATGGCAACTGGATAGCTCTGGAATTCGGAACAACCCTGAACTGTGGCCCTGAGCAGAGGCTCTTAATGGGGGTGGCAGTGTGGGGATGGGACCACCCACAAAGAAGCCCTGCCCCTGGCGCTCTGATAACCAACTCTCCCCAGCCACCCCCTGGAGCATCACCGGCACAGCAAACACCATTTGCAAAGGGTCAGGTGGTCTCCCTTTGCTGAGGGAGGAGAGAGGCCTTTCCCTGGGCATCTGTGGCAGGCGGCCCAGCTCTAGTCTGGCCTATGGGCCCCTCCTGATGACCTCTTCCTGCAGGTGTACCTGTCACTCATCCCCATCATCAGCGGGGTCCTGCTGGCCACCGTCACTGAGTTGTCTTTCGACATGTGGGGGCTTGTCAGTGCCCTCGCCGCCACGCTGTGCTTCTCGCTTCAGAACATTTTCTCCAAAAAGGTACTTGGGCACCATCAGTGGACACGTATGGGGTGTCAGGGGTGTGCGGGGCGGCAAGCTGGTGGCATTGGAAAAACAGGCTGAGTAGAAATTTCTTTGGCATTGGAGCAGAAAAATCTTCATTGACATTCTGCTGATATTCTTTCGGTCATTTTGCTTTTTAAATAGTTTATGTTTTTTGGCCAGGTGCCTATAATCCCAGCACTTTGGGAGGCCAGGGCAGGCAGTTCACTTGAGGTCAGGAGTTCAACACCAGCCTGGCCAACATGGCAAAACCCCATCTCTACTAAAAATACCAAAATTAGCCGGGCGTTGTGGCATGCACCTGTAATCCCAGCTACTCCAGACACTGAGGCACAAGAATTGCCTGAACCCAGGAAGCACAGGTTGCAGTGAGCTGTGATCATACCACTGCACTCCAACCTGGGCAACAGAGTGAGATCCCATCTCAAAACAGTTACTGCTCTTTACTCCTGTGATAATCACACACTTTTCAGGTTCCGCGGTTAATGCAGTTTCCCTTGGGAAATACTAGTTATTTCCAACTTTTCATTATAAGGTAGAAACAGTCACTGTGTGTACTGTTTTCCTGTCTCAGTTATTTCATGATGATAGGCTTACAGTTCTCAGGTTCTCAGTTTACAGGATATGAAACGTTTATGACTCTTAATATAGTTGGTCTGGTCGTATTCTAAAAAGGCTATACCAATTTAGCCTCAAACCAGTGGAATTTCAGAGTGGCTACTTCACCATCACCAGCACTGAGTGTTACTGTTTTATTTGTGGGGTTTTTTTCTCGGTCCTTTATGCATGGAACATGATGCTTGTTTCAGACGTGGGCTGTGTATGTTCTCATAGAGGCACGTACAGGTTTGGTGTTCAAGCTCAGATGTCGGGGTTAATGTCCACTCACTGTGTTTGGGGCCTGAGTAACTGGAGCCCTTTTTGCCACATATCATTTTAATCACCCTCTAAAGAGGCTTTCCCTTTCCAGGTCTTGAGAGATTCACGGATCCACCATCTCCGGCTACTCAACATCCTGGGCTGCCACGCTGTCTTCTTTATGATCCCCACCTGGGTTCTGGTGGACCTCTCAGCTTTCCTGGTCAGCAGCGACTTGGTGAGTTGGACAGCACCGAAAACAGGCCGTTTCCTTGGCTAGCTCCAGAATAGGTGCTTTGCTGAGGAGCTGCAGCTGCGTGTTGACACTGGGGTGTTTTTCGGGCTCCTGGCAGCCAGCCTTTTCAGCAGTCCGCCCTCTGTGATGACTCCGTGCACCCCATCGAGGAAATGGGTTTCCTGTGCGTTTCCTTCTCTGCTGTGCTTGATCCCAGGTGCTGATAGCCCTGTGTGTGCGCCAGTAGCATCGAGGAAGAGAAGGTGACTCGTTCACGTCTTGGCAACATGGTCCACATGGCACTTCGACTTTTTATTTTTACTCATTTTTTGATTTAAATGTTTAGTTTTTTTAGACCTCGCTCTGTTGCCAGGGATGGAGTGCAATAGCATAATCATGGCTCACTGCAGCCTGGACCTCAATCCTGGGCTCAAGCAATCCTCCCGCCTCAGCCTCCTGAGTAATTGAGACTACAGGCGTGCACCACAACACCTAGCGAATTTGGGTTTTGGTGTTTTTTTTTGAGACAGAGTTTTGCTCTTGTTACCCAGGCTGGAGTGCAATGGCACTCTCTCAGCTCACCACAACCTCCGCTTCCTGGGTTCAAGCAATTCTTCTGCCTCAGCCTCCCAAGTAGCTGGGAATACAGGCTTGCACCACCATGCCCAACTAATTTTTGTATTTTTAGTAGAGGCGGGGTTTTACCATGTTGACCAGGATGGTCTTGATCTCTTGACTTCATGATCCACCCGCCTCGGCCTCCCAAAGTGCTGGGATTACAGGTGTGAGCCACTGCGCTTGGCCTTTTTTTTTTTTTTAAACTGTTTTTGGAGAGACAGAGTCTCACTGTGTTGCCCAGGCTAGTTCTGAACTCCTGGCCTTAAAAGATCTGCTGTGGCCTCCCAAAGTACTGGGATTACAGATGTGAGCCACTGTGTCTGGCCAGCCCTGAAACTTTTGAAAACCGCACTTGCTGGATACAGTGGCTCAAGCCTGTAATCCCAGCACTTTGGGAGGCCGAGGCATGTGGATCACCTCAGGTCAGGAGGTCAAGACCAGCTCGTCCAATATGGTGAAACCAGTCTCTACTAAAAATACAAAATTAGCCAGTGTAGTGGTGCATGCCTGTAATCCCAGCTACTTGGGAGGCTGGAGTGGGAGAATCACTTGAACCAGGGACACAGAGGCTGCAGTGAGCTGAGATGGCACCACTGCACTCCAGCCTGGGCAACAAGAGCAAAACTCTGTCTCATAAAAGAGAAAAGAAAATTGCACAGCTCAGTTTCCTCCTTGGTCTCTATTTCCATGTACTCCATGTCGAATCTTTCTGCCACCTGCAGGGTCTGCCTTCAGAAAATGTGTTCTAGACAAACGCAGGTGCCTGCGGTAAGGGAGAGGCCAGTGTGATTCTTCCAGACAGAAAGGAAGAGTAAATATTTATTGAAGTCTTAATGTGGTCTAGCTGGATTTGTGACATTTCTCATCTTTAATCTTTCGCTCCACCTGTTGAAGTAGTGGATATTACCGCTATTTCCCTGATTAATAAACCTTTTGTAACCTTTGTTACTTTCTTTCCACATTGATGAGCTATAATTCCTCTGTGAAGAACCTTCCATCTTCCTGGACTGGTTCCTTACTTTAAAGTATGGTACAAAAAAGCAATTTAATGCCTAACTGTCCCTTTTAATGACTAATCTTCAGGAGACAGAGTTGGAGCTTCCTCCACATGTTGGCCATAGTTGAGGGTTTGTTTGGGGTTGGGGAAGGCGTTCTCTTTCTTTCTCCAGCATCATTGTGAACTTTAGTGTTTGTCAGTTGCATGAATTATTCTATTTCCTAGTCAAATTGTCCTGTCTCGGCCAGGCACGGTGGCTCATGCCTGTAATCCCAGCACTTTGGGAGGTTGAGGTGTGCAGATCACTTGAGGTCAGGAGTTCGAGACCAGCCTGGTCAACATGGTGAAACCCCATCTCTACAGAAAACACAAAAATTAGCCTGGTGTGATGGCACATGTGTAATCTCAGCTACTCAGGAGGCTAAGGCAGGAGAATCACTTGAACCTGAGAGGTGGAGGTTGTAGTGAGCCAAGATCATACCACTGCACTCCAGCCTGGGCAACAGAGCAAGGCTCCATCTTTAAAAAAAAAAAAAAAAATGACCTGTCTTAGCCATTGGAGCCCTTCTGATTGGCTCCCTACTCTTATAGCGCTGTGGGTCAGCGTTTCACCCAGCGGGATGCCCGCCCACGTCTTCTGTACTTCCCATCCCAGAGCTGCAGTCAGCCCTTCCTTCAGGACTCCAGGCGCCGTTAGTGGGGAGCGGTATTTAGGGACACGATCCAGGTGCCATGGGTGTTTTTTGCTGCTGGGTTGTCATTGCTGTTAGGCCTCTGCTATGAAAAATTAGGAAGTACATACTTGGTACAGCAGCAAAAAGTTCCTAGCTATTCGTTTCACTTTGGATTGGACAGTCCAGATCTTTACTGCTCTGATTTTCGAATTTAGATCTCATTGCTGGTATGGTAGGTTCTTCTGTTTTCCTAGTTGCTTATTATACCCCAGTTATTCACTGACGTTATTCTACTGTACACTCACTCATACGATCGCTTCAGAGCCAGCGTCCTCACAGCACAGCTGCAGCCAGGGTGCTGAGAGCAGGTTAGTGTATCTTTGCAGGCTGGGTGGGACGGCTCACACCTGGAATCCCAGCACTTTAGGAGACTGAGATAGGTAGATCACTTGAGGCCAGGAGTTTGAAACCAGCCTGGCCAACATGGGGAAGCTCCATCTCTAGAAAAATTTAAAAACTAGCAGGGCGTGGTGGCATATGCCTATAATCCTAGCTACTAGGGAGGTGGAGGTTGCAGTGAGCCAAGATCACAATACTGCACTCCAGCCTGGGTGACACAGCAAGACTGTGTCTCATAAAAATTTTTAAAAAGTACAAGTCTGGCCATGATTCCTGTCACCTCCATCCTGTCCCCTCCCCACCCATGAATAACATTTCTTATGCTCCTAATTCACCTTTTCCTATCTTTACAAATATAAGCAAACTTGCATCTATAATCATACTCTGTCCTCCTTACACAAAAAGTAACTTTTTATTTTATTTTATTCATTTATTTTGAGACAGAGTTTTGCTCTGTTTCCCAGGCTAGAGTTGCAATGGTGCGATCTCGGCTCACTGCAACCTCTACCTCCCAGATTCAGGCAATTCTCCTGCCTCCGCCTCCCAAGTAACTGAGGTTACAGGAGCCCACTACCTCGACCCGCTAATTTTTTTTTTTCTTTTTGTATTTTTATTAGAGACAGGGTTTCACAATGTTGGCCAGGCTGGTCTCAAACTCCCAACCTTAGGTGATCCACCCACCTCAGCCTCCCAAAGTGCTGGGATTACAGGCATAAGCCACCACACCCAGCCCAAAAGGTAACTTTTTATTTATTTATTTATTTTTTTTGGACAGAGTTTCACTCTTGTTACCCAGACTGGAGTGCAATTGCACGATCTCGGTTCACCGCAACCTCCGCCTCCTGGGTTCAAGCAATTCTCCTGCCTCAGCATCCCGACTAGGTGGTATTACAGGCACGCACCACCACGCCCAGCTAATTTTTGTATTTTTAGTAGAGACAGGGTTTCACCTTGTTGACCAGGATGGTCTCAATCCCTTGACCTCGTGATCCACCCACCTCGGCCTCCCAAAGTGCTGGGATTACAGGCATAAGCCACTGTGCCTGGCCAAAGGTAGCTTTTTAAATACACAGTTTGGTCACACACAGTGCCTGACACCTGTAATCCCAGTACATTGATAGGCAGAGGCAGGCAGGTCGCTTGAGCCTCAGGAGTTTGAGACCAGCCTGGGCAAACTGATGAAGCTATGTCTCTACATAAAACAAAACCAAAAATTAACCCGGCATGGTGCTACATGCCTGTAGACCCAGCTGCTTGGGAGCCTGAGGTGGGAAGATCACTTGAACCCAGGAAGGTCAAGGCTGCAGTGAGCCTTGATTGAGCCACTTCACTCCAGCGAGCATGACAGAGCAAGACACTGTCTCAAAAATAAAAATACACTCATCCTTCTATATATGTGGGTTCTACACTAGTGGATTCAACCAACTGTAAATTGAAAATGCCTGGTGGAAAAGCAGTTAAGTGAAGCACAATAATAAAGAATAATCCATACTTTTAAACAATACAGTATAACAACTCTTTGTATAGCATTTACATTATAAGTAATCTAGTGATGATTTCAGGTATACAGGAGGATGTGCATGGATTACATGCAAATACTATACCATTTTTTAAAAGAGACTTGAACATCCATAGAATTTGGGATCCACAGGGGTCCTTAGAACCAGTCTGCTGTGGATACTGAAGGGGAGCTGAACTATTCTGCACCATTCATTTCATCTAATTGCCCTGGCAAGCTCTTCATAGCGGCATAGGAGGCCTTTCTCATGTCTTAGGGCTGGGTAATACTGTCGGTGGGTTTCCCGTCAGTTCCTCTGCTGTCCTGTGTTACAGCTCATTAGGGTACGTATGTGTCCACACATGGACAGGAATATATAGGCTTTTGCTGTGGTCTTTTGTCTTTGCGTTTCTTGCATTTAGGACACTTCGTGTTGTTGTTGTTCTAGTGGTTATCTGTTGTTGTCATACCTTACGTAACCTCCTTTTTTTTTAGTTGAGGCTATGTGTGTATGTTTCATGTGTTTTTTGGTTTTTTTTTGTTTTTCATAGAGACGGTCTCACATTGTTGCCCAGGTTGGTCTTGAATGCCTGGCCTCAAGCGATCCTCCTGCCTTGCCGAGATTACAGCTGCGAGCCACCACACGTGGCCATGTTTTTTTGTTTGTTTGTTATTTGTTTTTTAGACTGAGTTTCCTTCTTCTTGCCCAGGCTGGACTGCAATGGCGCGATTTTGGCTCACCACAATGTCCACCTCCCAGGTTCAAGCGATTCTCCTGCCTCAGCCTCCTCAGTAGCTGGGTTTACAGGCATGTGCCACCCTGCCTGGCTCATTTTGTATTTTTAGTAGAGACGGGGTTTCTCCATGTTGGTCTTGAACTCCCAACCTCAGGTGATCTCCCTGCCTCGGCCTCCCAAAGTGCTGGGATTACAGACATGAGTCACTGCACCCAGCCCATGCCTTTGTCTATTTTAATAGCAGCCCTAGGTATACACCATATTCAATAATGTTGCCCTCTGAAGATGGGGTTCCCCCTCTTTGTCTTGTGTCTCCCGCATAGACTAACCAGACGGCAGGTTAGTTAGCACAGTCCCAGGCTCCAGAACAGGACGGAGGAGGATGAGATGGGAGGACATCAGCTGGTGTCTGCTGCTCTCCACTCTACCAAGATTCAAAGGCCGGAGTGGGCAGTTCCCAGTGCTGCCTGGACCAGTTGCCAAATGGCTTAGCAAAAGACAGGCGGGGATTCCTAGACTCTGGAGCAGGTGACCTGGTTTCAGTGTAGCAGGAGCGGCCTCGGGAAACAGATCTTGAACACCAAATAAAGGAGGGAGGAGTTTATTCGGCTGGGAGACCAGGCGGTAATTTGTCAAAAACCCAGCTCATCTAACAAAGGAAGGTTCTGCCTTTATATAGGCTTATACTTCAGATGTTACACATGGAAGACTCTTAGGTTCATAGTTTTAGGACTCACATGTGAAAAGGTTTCTGGTTTGATCTTAAGTAAAAATAGTGCCTTCTGGAGAGTTTCCCCAAGACCCAGCCTGCCACCTACAGGAAGGTGAAACCAGAGGTACCAGTTGGTCAGCCTTTTCTTCTACTGAAATGCAGCCTGGCAGTCAAAGGGAAAGGTGATCTGAGAAGCCTGGGTCTCCCTCTTCATCAGAACTTGGACAGAATGCACAAAACAGCTACTGGAGAACCAGAAATTAACGGTAGCAGGCAGATGGCTGCGGGGAGAGGGCAGAATTCAAAGTGCCCTGGATGCAGCAGTGAGTTCGTCATTCTTCCTGTATCTTCAGCCTGGACATGAGGCAGCTCAGTAGGTAGACAAAGGCACTGAATGAGACACAGATGTTCTCTGCTTGGAGCTTGGAGAGTGGGAAAGGAGATTTCTAATGCTCAGGGAGAATGGAGGAAATCCCCTATTAGGCTTTTTCTTTTTCTTTCTTTTTGAGACAAGAGTCTTGAACTGTCACCCAGGCTAGAGTGCAGTGGCGTGATCTTGGCTCACTGCAACCTCCGCTTCCCAAGTTCAAGAGATTCTCCTGCCTCAGCCTCCCATGTAGCTGGGATTACAGGCACGTGCCACCACACCCAGCTAATTTCTGTATTTTTCTTTTTAACAGAGATGGGGTTTCATCCTGTTGGCCAGACTGGTCTTGAACTCCTGACCTAAGGTGATCTGCCCACCTTGACCTCTCCAAGAGCTAGAATTACAGGTGTGAGCCATACCTGGATGCCTGCTAGACTTTTTTTTTTTTTTTGAAATGCAGTCTCGCTCTTGTCACCCAGACTGAAGTAGTAGCACTATCTTAGCTCACTGCAACCTCCACCTCCCAGGTTCAAGCTATTCTCCCACCTCAGCTTCCTGAGTGGCTGGAATTATAGGCATGCGCCACCACTCCCAGCTAATTTTTGTATTTTTAGTACAGACGGGGTTTCACCATGTTAGTTGTGTATGGTGGCGCACACCTGTAGTTCCAGCTACTCAGGAGGCCGAGGTGGGAGAATCACTTGAGCCCAGTAGGCAGAGGTTGCAATGAGCTGAGATTGCATCACTGCACTTCAGCCTGGTCAACAGAGCCAAGACCCCTTCTCAAAAAAAGCCAAAACATACGATACCAAGTTCGTTGAGGATGGGGCACATGTGGAACTCTCATATTTTGCTGGTGCAAATACAGAATGATGCAGCCACTCTGGAAAGCACTGAGGAGGTTCTTAGGAAGTTAAATACACACTAATGTAGCAACCCCACTCCTGGTTGTTTACAGAAATGAAACTGATGTTCACACAAAAGCCTTTTTATGTGAAATGTTTACAGCAACTGTATTCACGATCACCAAAAACTAGAAACAGTCCAGATGTCCTTCAGTAGTTGCGTGGATAAAGAAACTTTAGGGCTGGGCGCAGTGGCTCATGCTGGAATCCCAGCACTTTGGGATCATTTGAGGTCAGGAGTTTGAGACCAGCCTCACCAATATAATGAAACTTCACCTCTACTAAAACAAAAATTAGCCAGGCATGTGGTCCCAGCTACTCGGGAGCCTGAGGCCAGAGAATTACTGGAACCCAAGAGGCGCAGGTCCGCACAACTGCACTCCAGCCTGCGTGATGGAGTGAGACTCCATCCCAAAAAAAAAAAAAAAGCCTGGACACAGTGGCTCGCACCTATAATCCCAGCACTTTGGGAGGCCAAAGTGGGCAGATCACCTGAGGTCAGGAGTTCAAGACCAGCCTGGCCAACATGGTGAAACTTCGTTTCTACTAAAAATACAAAAATTAGCCAAGTGTGATGATGGGCACCTATAATCCCAGCTACTCGGGAGGCTGAGACAGGAGAATCGCTTGCACCTGTGAGGCAGAGGTTGTAGTAAGCTGAGATTACACCATTACACTCCAGCCTAGATAACAAGAGCAAAACTACATCTCAAAAAAAGAAAAAGAAACTTCAGTACACATACAGTGGAGCATTACTCAGCAATGAAAAGGTACCAGCTCTTGTCCCTCACAACCTGGATGAGTGGCAGAGGCACTACACTGAGTGAAAGCAGCCTGTCTCCAAAGGTTCCGAGCCAAGTGATTCCGGTCACATGACAGTCTCCCAAGGACACATGGGTCATGAAAGAAAACACACATGGTTGCCAGTTGGAGGAGGAGGGGGTTATGACAAAAGAGAAGCCCCCAGGAGTGTTCTGGCCCTGATGGTCGGGGTGGCTCCATGAATTGATGTATTTGTTAAAATGCCTGGCTTTGTGTGGAAAAATCAGTCCATTTTATTATGTATCTTTTTTTGTTTTAAGCCAGATTGAATGGGTTCCTTTCCTGGAAGATAGATGTCTGTGCAAGCAGGAAGACAATAGCTTGGAAGTCCTAACCGATCACCTTAGGGAGGGACCCCTGGGAGAACAGGCTGGCCCAACATGAAGCATCCTGGTGGGCTCGTGTATATTACAGGGGCTGTTCCTCCAATGAGGTTGCCCGCAGAAGCTGCAGGGTATATGGCACAGGTAAATAGACTTGCATTTGGGAGTTCGAGTCTTGACTTGGTTGGCGTTGAGCTGGTCGCCTAAGCCTTTGAGAGGACCCTGTAATCCTTCTCTCTTGGAGTGCAGTGGAGATGGGAGTCAGGCAGTCATCCTGCAGCTCCGGCAGAGCCGCCAATCACCGTCACCCTGGGCGGAGCCAGCTCTGTCCTCTCAGGGCCAAGGTCAGCGCCCCTGGGAGTTGGCCTGCAGGGCTGTACCTGGTTCTCACCTGTCTGCCTGTCCTTGGACCAGCCTAGGCTCTTTGGGGATTCCGTGGTCCGGCTCTCTTGCTAGTTGCTATTTTTTTGATTTTTGGACCCCTTAATCAGAATGGCCTCATTCCGACCAGATGGTAACTAAAGTTTTGTGGGGGTTTTTCGAGACAATGTCATACTCTGTCGCCCAGGCTGGAGTCCTGTGGTGCCATCACAGCTCACTGGAGCCTTAAACTCCTGGGCTCAAGCGATCCTCCCACCTCAGCCTTCCAGGTAGCTTGGACTACAGGTGTGCACCACCATGCCTGGCTAATGTTTTATTTTTTTTGTAGAGACAGGGTCTCACTCTGTTGCCCAGGCTGGCATTGAATGATCTTTCCTCCTTAGCCTCCCAGAGTGTTGGGATTACAGGCATGAGCCAGCACATCCAGCCTAAACTTTTTTTGTTTGTTTTTGAGATGGAGCTTCACTCTTGTTGCCCAAGCTGGAGTGCAATGGTGTGATCTTGGCTCACTGCAGCCTCCACCTCCCGGATTCAAGCAATTCTCCTCCCTCAGCCTCCCAAGTAGCTGGGATTATAGGCATGCACCACCACGCCCAACTAATTTTGTATTTTTAGTAGAGACAGGGTTTCACCATGTTGGTCAGATTGGTCTCGAACTCCTGATGACCTCAGGTGATCTACCCGCCTCAGCCTCCCAAAGTGCTGGGATTACAGGCATGAGCCACCGTGCCAGGCCTAAACTGTTGATAACATCACCTCTTGTGTTTGTTTGGCTTGCGATTGTTGTAAAGCACTTTCAAAGCAATGATTCTGTTTCATCCTCACAGCAATAGGTGCAGACCTGTGGCTTTCATATTACCTGGTACTTTGCAGGCTCGGGGCCACTTTCCCAGGACCTCCGATCTTGTAGAATGCATTGTGTCCAACAAGCAGACGCTTGCTTTGCTAAACGCAGAGTTCCTGACTGTTCTCTGCCATAGACAAGGGAAGGCTTTGGTTTATGTCTTCATGGTGCCCGGGGGGGACCTGGCTTCACCTCTCTTTCCTTGACAGGAGATGGTGGGTGATTCCTGTGCCGTGTGGTGTCATGAGGTTCTGAGGTCACACACCTAGCACCCAGTGTCTCTTGGTGACATACCTGGGCTGGCTGCCTGTGAACCATGAGGCTCCAGACGAGCCCTCCACATCCCTTCCCTACCCCTGCCAGGTGGATAGAGGGAAGCCAGGTCACTGCCGCCCACTGAAGTGCTGTCTTTGCCTCCTGGTCTCTGTAGACCTACGTCTCCCAGTGGCCCTGGACACTCCTGCTCCTCGCTGTCAGTGGATTCTGTAACTTTGCCCAGAATGTCATTGCCTTCAGCATCCTCAACCTCATCAGCCCCCTGAGCTACTCGGTCGCCAATGCCACCAAGAGAATCATGGTCATCACGGTGTCCCTCATCATGCTGCGCAACCCAGTCACCAGCACCAACGTCCTGGGCATGATGACTGCCATCCTGGGGGTCTTCCTCTACAACAAGGTGAGAGTTGGGGGAGGCTGGGTGGGGAACAAAGTCAGCCCTCAGCACCCAAGGAGTCAGGAGAAGAAGAGCCTCCCCAGAGCTGGAGGCTGGGGCTATAGGTCGACACGTTCCACCAACTGGTTTATGATCTTGGTGCAACCCCTTCCCACCCTGGCTTCCTTTTTCCTGCGTATACAATCTCAGGTCCTCATATCACTGTGGCTGTGTCTCAGCTGGGGATTTCCCTCCCTCCTCCCAAAGGCTCTGTTTGGTTCAGGGTTAAGTACATGGGATGGCCCATAGGGAGGGCTTGCCTTCCTTTTCTTTCTCTTTTTTTTCTTTTTTTGAGATGGACTCTCACTCTTGTGACACAGGCTGGAGTACAATGGCTCTCCATCTCAGCTCACTGCAACCTCCGCCTCCCGGGTTCAAGTGATTCTCCTGCCTTAGCCTCCCGAGTAGCTGGGATTACAGGCATGTGCCACCACACCCCGCTAATTTTAGTATTTTTAGGAAGAGACAGGGTTTCACCATGTTGGTCAGGCTGGTCTCGAACTCCTGACCTCAGGTGATCTGCCCGCCTCAGCCTCCCAAAGTACAGAGCCATGAGCCATCACACCCAGCCTCTTTATTTGTTCTCAACACATGTAGAGATGGAGGTCTCTCTGTTTTGCCCAGTCTCATCTCAAACTGCTGGCCTCAAGTGATCCTCCCACTTGGGCCTCCCAAAGCACTGGGATTACAGGCATGAGCCACTGCATCCAGCCAAGGACTTGCCTTCGAGTCTGTCCATGCTCTGTGGTCTGATCCATTTACATCTGCTTTCCTTGCTCAAGTTCTGTGACTTACACCAGCCCCAAAGCTTAATTGACTTTTTTAAATTCTGTTTTGAGAGACAGTGTCTTGCTCTGTCTCCAAGGCTGCAGTGCAGTGGCGTAATCCAAGCACACTGCAACCTCCCCTCCTGGGTTCAAGCGATCCTCCTGCCTCAGCTTCTTGAGTAGCTGGGATTACAGGCGTCTGCGGCTACACCCAGTTAGTTTTTTTGCATTTTTAGTAGACAGGGTTTCACCATGTTGCCCAGGCTGGTGGTCTCAAACTCCTGAGCTCAGGTGATCCTACCACCTCGGCCTCCCGAATTGCTGGGATTACAGGTGTGAGCCACTGCAGCCACCGGTTGACTGACTCTGAATTGAGCTCTTCCTTACGCCCCAGGCATGTCCTGTCTCATTTCTCTCTTTCTGGCACAGACCAAGTACGATGCAAACCAGCAAGCCAGGAAGCACCTCCTCCCCATCACCACATCTGACCTGAGCAGCAAGGAGCGCCACCGGAGCCCAGTGGAGAAGCCTCACAACGGCCTCCTCTTCCCCCAGCACGGGGACTATCAGTACGGCCGCAGCAGCATCCTCACAGACCACTTCCAGTACAGCCGGCAGAGCTACCCAAACTCATACAGTTTGAACCGCTATGATGTGTAGAGTCCAGAGGGCAGGACCAGACTGTTCTGTGACTCCTTCCCCTGCCCCCACAGCAGTATCAGAAACTTCTGACAATCAGTGAATGTACAAGCCAGCCGAGGGGACGGTGCATAACTCTGCATCAGAAGCTCTCGGGTTCCCGGCCCTGCCATGAGCCACAGGAGGAGGCGTTGCCTGCAGCGCAGGCAGCCGTGGGCTCCGGGCAAACGTAAACAGAGACTGGTATCTGTGCTCTTTCTTCCTGGAGTCTGTCGTCTGAGGGCCACACCCCTGCGGAGATCTTGGCCACGTTGTACCTTACCATGTGGAATTATTCCAGATAACACCCAGGAGTCTCTCTAGAAAGCTAGGATCACTGTGGCTGCAGACCATGAGCTGGCAGTGGGAGTATCCAGGACGGTGCTTGAGAATGTCAGACTGTCCACTTTAATTCCCTGGCTCAGATATGCCCAGGACCAACAGGGTCACTGAACAGACAAGGAGCCCACGAGAATCATTCAGAACATCCGCAGCCACAGGGATGGATCCGGTTTCCTGGTCATCCTCTTAACGGTTCAAAAGTTCCTGGCAATGTTCCAAAGAAAAAAGCGATTGCAATTAGCATCTAATTCCTGCAGCCTGGTGCTCTGCCCGGCCCATCACAGTTGGCGTCCACCCAGATCCAGAGGGAAAGGAAACTGCTCTCTCTGCTTCTTCCTCCCTCGCCAGAGCAGGGCACTTCTCTTAGGGTATCAAGAAGGCTCTTCAGGAAATTATGTTCAGTGTTTCAAGCTCTATTTCTGTGGCACTTGTCTTTTCAGAGGAGTCCTCACCTCTTCTCTGATGACTTGATAGGTTGTTTAGGAGGGAGATCTTGGTTTTCTGAGGATCTTGCATTTTTTTAGGGAAGATTTTGTAGTTGTGTGTGGTTTTTTTTTTTGCCGTGGTCCCCATTACGGGATCATTAGGACTGGCTTATGGATTGAAAACCGGTTTCTAAAGGTTTCAAAACAAAGTTCCCACTGGTGATGCCTGGGCGACACATTTTGGGACTTAGTAGGAAATAATGAAGTGTTAAGATTGACACAATTGCTGAAAACAGAGTAAATCATGAACATTATCTCAATACTTTGCATAATAGGCAAGACCACAGCATTCTGACCTGTTTTTGTGTTTATGTTAGGATCTCAATCATGTTCTGGCTAAGGGGAGAAGGAGCAAACACCGCGCTAAGATTTGGTTTGCCAAATCAGATTCTTTGGTCAAGAGTCAGTCTGGGGCCAGGCGCGGTGGCTCACGCCTATCATCTCAGCACTTTGGGAGGCTGAGACAGGCGATCACTAGAGTTTGAGACCAACCTGGCCAACGTGGTGAAGTCCTATCTCTACTAAAAAGATGCAAAAATTAGCCAGGTGTGGTGGTGCACGCCTGTAATCCCACCTACTTGGGAGGCTGAGGCAGGACAATCAATTGAGCCCAGGAGGTAGAGGTTTTAGTGAGCCGAGATCATGGCACTGCTCTCCAGCCTTGGCAATAGCCAAGCACCACCTGCCCAGCTAATTCTGTCTCAAAAAAAAAAAAAAAAATCAGTTTAGGTTTCAGCAGAAATATTCTAAGATCCCAGTAGGTAACCCTGAGCAGTCAGGTCCGAGCTGTGGTCTCAGTCTTTTATGGCTTCATGAAAGGACTGTACCCTCACGGAGGGGACCACGGCTTGGCTTATGGGGTCCTAGGTGATGGCTGCCTTTTTCCTTCATCACCACACCCAGCTTTTTGCTGGCACTTGCAGGGAGAGAGCAGCAAAGGAGAGGTTCATTCACCCTTTATCTCCCCGTGAGGAAGATGTTGCCCTGTTCAAACAGGAAGTAACATCGCTTACACATGACTCCATTTTTTTGTTGTTGGTTTTTCTTTCGATTGGAATTCTGTATTTAAGATGTTGTGTCAGCTGACACATGGGACATGGACCCTGCTGGGCGGTGGGTTTCCGCACCACTGGGCTCAGAAGTGTCCCTGTTCCTCCATCTGTTGTTCGCTTGCTTTGTAAATACTTTGGTCCCAGGCTGAGACCGTTGCGTCCTGAAGGGTGTTCTCAGAAGAACTTGCTGTGTGCCTTCACCGAAGGCAGTCAAGTCTGCAGTTGGATTTTTCTCACTGGTGAGTGACAAGAAACAGGGATGATTTTGCACTGCGGTGATGGAGTTGTCTATACGATTACAGCACCTGATTCTGTGAACGTATCCTTGAACTCCAAAATGAATTCAACCTCCATTCAGGCTTAATGAAATCTCTGATGTTGTGTATTATTTTCCTTTTCCAATGCAAGACCTGCTGGTGAGAGGAAATGACTGTCTGGTTTTATTCTGGTTTATAAATTAATAAATGGGCTATTTAATTCTGTATATACATTTACAGCAAGTACATACACTGGAATGAATGAGACAATCACATTACACCAAATCAGCAGATCAAAAGACAAGGCATAGTTCTGAGACCTGGAGGTCAACAGCTGGCATTGGCCTCTTTTTTTTTCCTTTCCTCCTGCCCCTCCCCCCCTCCCCCCCACCGCCCCAAATGGAGTCTTACTCTCTTCCCCAGGCTTGAGTTCAGTGGCGCAATGTCAGCTCACTACAACCTCCATCCCCCAGGTTCAAATTATTCTCATGACTCAACCTCCTGAGTACCTGCACTATAGGCATGCATAACCACGCCTGGCTAATTTTTGTATTTTTAGTAGAGACAGGGTTTCACCATGTTGGCCAGGCTGGTCTCAAACTCCTGGCCTCAAATGATTTGCCCACCTTGGCCTGATATTGGGCTTTTTTTTTTGAGCCGGAGTTTTGCTCTTGTCACCCAGACTGGAGCGCAATGACGCGTTCTCGGCTCACCACAACCTCCGCCTCCTGGGTTCAGGCACTTCTCCTGCCTCAGCCTCCCGAGTAGCTGGGATTACAGGCACACGCCACCATGCCCAGCTAATTTTTTGTATGTTTAGTAAAGATGGAGTTCCACCATGTTGACCAGGATGGTCTCGATCTCTTGACCTTGCGATCCACCCGCCTCGGCCTCCCAAAGTGCTGGGATTACAGGCGTGAGCCACCGCGCCCGGCCCAACATTGGCCTCTTGAAGGCTGTTTTTTTTCACAGCCAGACAGTGCCCTTGCCTGACGCCCCACTCCCACACTTTCATCAGCCCTCCCTCACCCTCACTGCTGGGCTCTGTGGTAGAGAATTTCCTTTACCCATCCAGGGTATGTTCTGGCCGGCAACACTGACTCTAACCCAACTCCTTCATTTTAAAAAAGGAGGTGTTGGTGCCTCCCACGGCATTTCCGAATCATGTTTGTTCACTATGGTGAGACACACTACAGAATTTTTAAGCACCTTACTTTAAGGCATTCATTCTAGGAACAATCCAGCCCCCATCACAAAGGGGACAAGCCACCTCCGTTCAAGTGAGGCAGTTTCTGAATTTTGCTGTGTATCTGTCCATCACCCAACAGGCCCTTTGCTATAGCTGCAACATTGCCAGACCCCAACACCTTAAGGTCTAACAGCCTAAAGGACATAGAACATTATTAAAGGACCTGAAAATATTATAATTTTTTTTTCAATTGTCACCTGTTTTCAAGACTTAACTGCTATAGACAGTTCTGCAGGCATGATGTGTATATTCATTAATGGCGTTTACCAAAAATAAATGATGGTCTCGAGGGAATCAAAATTGGTCCCAATTTATCAGCAAGGATCTTTCTTGGAGTGACCTTGTCTTGAGTGTGCCCAGCAACAAAACATGGACGGAGAAACAGCAAGCCAACTTGGCTCTCACATCTGGATTTATTGCAGCCTTTGTTTTCTCTTCTGAACCAAAAATAAGGATGTATGATTTGTGAATTTCCTACAGTGAAAAGAGGGTCACAGCTAAATTGATGACAGGACTTCACAGAACAGAGTAACGTGGGAAGTCCAGGAATGCTGTGGCAGCTGTGCTCAGGAAGAAAAATTTTTTGTATGTTTGTTTCATGTTTTTTGAGACAGGGTCTCATTCTATCACCCAGGCCTGAGCACAGAGGTGCAATCCAGGCTCTCAGCAGCCACAGCCTTTGAGGCTCAATGGATCCTCCTGCCTCAGCCTCCCAAATAGCTGGGACTACAGGCACTTGCCACCACACCTGGCTAATGTTTGTATTTTTTGTAAAGATGGAGTTTCACTATGTTGCCCAGGCTGGTCTTAAACTTTTAGCCTCAAGCGTTCTACCCTCCTGGCCTGTCTTGTTTTTGGCTTAAGAAGCACGGTCTCACTTTACTACCCGAGCTGCACTGCAGGGACACAACCACAGCTTACCACATCATGAAGCTCCTAAACTAAAGCCTCCCAAGCCCTGAGACGGGTACGCACGACCACACCCAGCTAATTAAAAACACAATTTCAGTGATGGGCGTCTCTATTGCCCAGGCTGCTCTGGAACTCCTGGGCTCAAGTGATCTGTCTGCCTTGGCCTCCCAAAGTGCTGGGATTACAGGTGTGAGCCAACGTGCCCAGCCTGAAGGCGTTTTTTGAGTATTGACAGCCAAGCCTGAGTACCTGCTAGAAGCACAGCCCAGTGGTGAGCTTTTCACACACAATACCTTTGTGAGTCTTCTTAGCCTTGTTTTTCAGGGGAAAATGAGGCCCAACGGGGTCAAGTCACTCGTCGGATGACACAGCTCAGTGACTTGGCTCACTGCAGCCTCCACTTCCAGGCTCAAGCAATTCTCCTGCCTCAGCCTGAATAGCTGTGATTACAGGTGTGAGCCACCACGCTAATTTTTGTATTTTTTAGTAGCGACGAGGGATCTTCAGGTTCCAGCGATTAAATCTGCTCCAGAACCCATTTTTCCCCATCAAATGATTCCCAGCAGAGAATTCAAATAGTGAAGGGTTTGAGTTTCTGCTAAAACTATTGCCTATGTCCTTTCCATTCATAATCCTTTTGCTTAGTGATTTACTAAGCACTTACTTGTGTCAAGCAGCAAGAAACAGATATGTAAGCCTCCTACCCTCAAAGCACTCAGCCTAAATGAAAGGTGTTTAACGAAGTACCACATGGGAGCTACTTAGAAACACTAAGACCCGGAGGACTGGGGGACCAGGGGACTGGGGGAGGCGGCAGGGCTCACGCCTGTAATCCCAGCAGTTTGGGAAGCCAAGGCAAGCTGATCTCCTGAGATCAGGAGTGCGAGACCAGGCTGGCCAACATGGCAAAATAAAAATACAAAATACCCCGACTCCAATAAAAATACAAAAATTACCCGGGCATGGTGGCATGAGCCTACTTGGGAAGCTGAGGCAGGAGAATTGCTTGAACCTGGGAGGCGGTGAGCTGAGACAGCACCCCTACATGCCAGCCTGGGCGGCAGAGCAAGACCCTGTCTCAAACCTACAAAACTTTAGTTACCATCTGACACTGACCAGAATGCAGCCATTTTTATTAAGGTGTCTGGAAGTCAAGAAATCACAACTAGTGGTGGCTCACGCCTATAATCCCAGGACTTTGGGAGGCCGAGGCGGGTGGATCACGAGGTCAAGAGATCGAGACCATCCTGGTTAACATCGTGAAACCCCGTCTCTACTAAAAATACAAAAAATTAGCCAGGCATAGTGGTGCGTGCCTGTAATCCCAGCTACTCAGGAGGCTGAGGCAGGAGAATTGCCTGAACCCAGGAGGCGGAGGCTGCGGTGAGCCGAGATCACGCCATTGCACTCCAGCCTGGGCAACAAGAGTGAAACTCCGTCTCAAAAAACAAAACAAAAAAAAGAAATCACAACTAGCAAACATGTGGGTCGTGGAACCCCCTCAGTGCACCTGGGCCCCAACTCTGCTGCTCAGTTGAGTTCCTTCACAGACTCTTCCCACTCGGGGTGTCCGCTTTACTTGCTGGAGAGTATCTGCAGCAGCCTCTGTCTACCAGCTCTTTCTACTGCTTTCTTCTGACCAATGGATTCTGGTTTGGCCCTCTGAAATGAGCTTGGGAGAGGCCCCCAAAAAAAGAATGGCTAGGCAAGGTGGCTTATGCCTGATGTTTTTATTTTCAGTCTCAGATAAATGGCTTTTTTTTTGAGATGAAGTCTTGCTCTGTCACCCAGGCTGGAGTACATTGGCGCTGCAACCTCCCCCTCCAGGTTCAAGCGATTCTCCTGCCTCAGCCTCCTGAGTAGCTGGAATTAAAGGCGCCTGCCACCACGCCTAATTTTTGTATTTTTAGTAGAGACAGGATTTTCACCACGTTGGCCAGGCTGGTCTTGAACTCCTGACTTAAGTGATCCGCCCGGCTGAGCCTCCCAAAATGCTGTGATTACAGGCATGAGCCACAGTGCCAACCTGCATTTTAAACAATCTGAAACGAATGTATGAAAGTAGTGACCTTTGGGTATAACTACCTTTATAGAGGGCAGCTGAGCAATACCAATATTGAATTTGCACACCCTTTGACTCAGCACTAGATTTATGTCTACTAAGACGCTTTTTATTTTTGAGACGAAGTCTCGTTCTGTTGCCCAGACTGGAGTGCAGTGGCAAGATCTCGGCTCACTGCAACCTCCACCTCCAGGCTCGAGCAATTTTCGTGTCTCAGCCCGAGTAGCCAGGATTACAGGCATGAGTGACCATGCCCAGCTAATTTTTGTATTTTTTTTAGCAGAGACAGGGTTTCTCCATGTTACCCAGGCTGGTCTCGCACTCCCAGACTGAAGTGATACGCCCGCCTTGGCCTCCGAAAGTGCTGGGATGACAGGTCTGAGCCCCTGCACCCAACCCTATATACACTAAAACACTTTTAATAGCGTCCTAAAAATGGAACCAAGCCAGGAGACTAAAGAGTCTCGCTTCAATAAATTGTGGTAAATCCACAATGCAGTATCCTATGCACCCTAAAAAATGACAGGAACAGCCGGGCATGGTGGCTCAGGCCTGTAATCACAGCACTTTAGGAGGCTGATCACTTGAGATCAGGAGTTCAAGACCTGCCTGGCCAACATGGTGAAACCCCATCTCTACTAAAAATACAAAAATGAGCCGAGCATGGTGGCACACGCCTGTAATCCCAGCTAATGGAGAGGTTGAGGCAGGTGAATTGCTTGAACCCGGGAAGCAGAGGTTGCAGTAAGCCAAGATCATGCCAGTGCACTCCAGCCTGGGCAACAGAAGGAGACTTTGTCTCAAAAAAAAAAAAAAAAAAAAGGCTAGGCAAGGTGGCTTACGCCTGTAATCCCAGCACTTTGGGAGGCTGAGGCGGGCAGATCACAAGGTCAAGAGATCAATACCATCCTGGCCAGCACAGTGAAACCCCACTCTACTAAAAAATACAAAAATTAGCTGGGCATGGTGGCACATACCTGTAGTCCCAGCTACTTGGGAAGCTGAGGCAGGAGAATCGGTTGAACCCAGAAGGCGGGAGTTGCTGTGAGCCGGGATCGTGCCACTGCATTCCAGCCTGGCAACAGAGTGAGGCTCCATCTCAAAAAAAAAGAAAAGAAAAGAAAAAGAATGACAGTACTGATTCATTAACCTGTTCTGGCTGAAGAGCCTATTAAGAATCCTGTAAATGCTGTGTATCTTCAACCCTAAAAAAGGCATTTATTTAGCTATCAATTTCATTAGTTCATGGTTCTCTGAAATCTGTCTATTAGAGATCCCAAATTAAAATTAAGACTTTTTGATGTAGCTGGACACAGGTGGCTCACACCTGTAATCCCAGCACGTTGGGATCTGAGGTGGGCAAATCACCTGAGGTCAGGAGTTCAAGACCAGCATGGCCAACACCATCAAATTCCGTCTCTACTGAAAATACAAAAATAAGCCGGCTGTGGTGGTGCGCACCTGTAGTCCCGTCTTCCCTGGAGGCTGAGGCAGGAGAATTGCTTGAGCATGGGAGGTGGAGGTTGCAGTGAGCCTTGATCACACCACTGCACTCCCAATTTGGGCAAGAGAGCAAGACTCTGTCTCAAAAACACTAAATAAATAAGATCCTCCATCTTCATGAGAAAATATGAACCAGAGGACTTTTTTTTTTAAAAAAGAAAAAAATCCTTGATCTTGCCTCCTGGCCTGCAGAGCCTAAAATATTTGCTTTCTATCCTTTTTATACATAAAGTTTGTTGATTCTTGACCTACAGCAACACCTGATGTAGAGCAGGCAATCCGTTAAGAGTCTGGTGGAAAAATGCTGTAACAATAAAAATGAAAGGAATCTAAAATACACGTCTATGTATTTGCACAGAAAAAATAGGCTGGGTACACTGTTACAGTGGCTCACGTCTATAATCCCGGCACTTTGGGAGGCCGAGGCGGGAGGATTACTTAAGCACAAGAGTTCAGAGCTAGTGAGCTATGATCATGCCACTGCACTCCAGCCGGAGCCAGAGGAGAACTTGTCTCAAGAAAAAAGAGGAAAAAAAAAAGGGAGGTATAGCCAACCAAGCATTAACCATCTCAAAAGGATCAGTTATAACGGACGCCCACAGCAGAAGTTTGCTGCTTCTGGCTACTTTTCCAGAAGCAGCAAAGAGTTAGCAAGAGTTGGCTTCATCATTTTAGAAACAACGCAACTGCATCTTTTAGAAAGGCGCTGTGGCCTCTAGGCCAGCAATTTGTGGGTATGGGTTGGGGGTACCCCGCCCCAAAATCTTCCTGACCAAAGAGTGGAGCGCAAGAAAGCAAGAATGTTTTGAACCTAAATAAGTCCACTTGCAATCCTTATCAAGCTCGTCGCCTGCCAGTTCGTCGCCTCCCAGTTCTGCTCCACCTCCGGGGCCGTAGGGATGTGACAGTCGCCGCAGCCCGGGATTCACCGGAGGCACCTCACCTCGTAGGCTCCTCACTGTGCCCGCGTTCCCCGGAGGTAGCGACCGGCCAGCCTGTCGGACTGCGACGTGTACATAAGGGAACGGCCCCTCACCGCCATGTATCGGCTAAAACCGCTTCAGCCCTGCCGCGGCTTTGCGCGACGGGGCCTATTCTGCGCATGCGCCAGAAAACCTCTGCGCATGAGCCTCGCTAGCCCCGCCCGCGCGCCAGGCCTCCCGCGGCATCTTCCCGCCTGTCTTCAGCTCTTACTTCCGGAGTTTCCCAGCAACGGCCGTAAGTGGCGAGCGGAAGCAGCCCTAGAAGCCCGCTGTAAACGGCTCTCTCGCGCCACTTCCGGCCGGCTTCCGCAGACGGCGCTGGTGGTCGATCGTGAGACGCCGGAGGACGTTCCCCGCGGCCGGAGCCATGGAGATGCCGCTGCCTCCCGATGGTGAGACCCAGACCGGCCGAGAGACCGTTTCTCTCTCCCCGGAACCTCCTGTTAGCCGGTTCCGCCTCCCGGGGTCCCCGGGTCTGGGAGGGGGCGGGGCTCGGCCTCGCGGCTACGCCTGCGGCCTCACCTGTGAGTCCCCGCATTCCCGGCGAGCTTGTGGCCCCTATCGGGACCCGTCCAAGGGCGGCTTTTTCGGGGCCCACCCTTAGGGTCCTAGGCACGGCGGACCGGGGCTGGGGCGCTGGGGCCCCTAGCTTTGTGCAGTTCTCGCTCACGCCGCCCCGCGTGGCCTTTTCTCCGTTCTCCAGACCAGGAGCTTCGAAATGTCATCGACAAGCTCGCCCAGTTCGTGGCTCGCAATGGGCCCGAGTTTGAGAAGATGACGATGGAGAAGCAGAAGGACAATCCCAAATTCTCGTTTCTGTTCGGAGGCGAGTTCTACAGTTACTACAAGTGCAAGCTGGCGCTGGAGCAGCAGCAGCGTAAGTCTCTTCTGGCATTCAGGCAGCCTCATCGAGCGCTTCCTTTCTCGGATTCCAGTCCCGGCTCTGCCACAAACCTCTTCTTTCATTCGGGTCGCTTACTGTCTCTAAAGTGGAGCAGCTCGGTCCCCACGATTCCTGTTCCGCTGTTTCTATGGCCTTGCATAGAGCGGCTGCCGGGTCCGACTGTAATGGAGAACAACGAGGTTATCGATCCTTCTCCTGGGCTCCGGATCAGGGATGTTACTATCGCTTTGCAGACTGAGGACTGCGATCAGCAGGAGTAGCGTGACTATTGGAGTCTTTTCTAGGGAGGAAAGGATAGAGACCGATGGGAACCCATGGGACAGGCACTGTCCAGCCACCTTTGTGGGCTCTCTGTGGGTCCAGCAAGGCTTTTGTGCATTTCAGATGCCTGCAGCACAAATCCAAAAGAATTATCCCGCTGATAATTTAGTTTTTGGCAAGAGTTTATTAATGTTCGTTCAGTTGGGCTACAGGATTCCAGTCCTTTCAAAAAGGTTAAGGTGAGGTTAGGAAGCAGAGCTGGCCTTGGAATAATGGATAGTCACCAGGTGTTGTGGCTGCTCAGGACAGACATCACATCTGTTATGTTCAGTACCCAACTACCAGTCTCTAGATACATTGTTTAAATGAATAGTAGGAGTTTGCCAGGTAGAAGAACATTGAGAGGTGGTTGTCCCCTGAACTACATGCTCCCCAAGGCCAAACAGACCTTGTTTAGGTCATTGTGCTTTAGTACATAACACATAGTCGGTGTTCGATTAAAAAGCTTGAAAGGAGGCCGGGTGCGTGGCTCATGCCTGTAATCTCAGCACTTTGGGAGGCTGAGGCGGGCAGATTACTTGAGATCAGGAGTTCAATACCAGCTTGGCCAACATGCTGAAACCCTGTCTTTAGTAAAAATACAAAAAAAAAAAAAAAAATTAGTTGGGCGTGGTTGTGGGCACCTGTAGTCCCAGCTACTTGGGAGGCTGGAGAATCGATTGAACCTGGGAGGCGGAGGTTGCAGTGAGCCAACATCGTGCCTTAGCACTCCAGCCTGGGAGACAGAGGGAGGCTCCGTCTCAAAAAAAAAAGCTTGAAAGGCTGACAAAGTAAGACATTGCACAGGTGCAGTGTCCTCAACAAACACGGTGAAACCTCGTCTCTACTAAAAATACAGAAATTAGCTGGGCATGGTGGTGTAGCCTGTAGTCTTAGCTACTCGGGAGGCTGAGATAGGAGAATCACTTGAAGCTGGGAGGCGGAGGTTCCAGTGAGCTGAGGTTGCACCACTGTGCTCCAGCCTGGGCGACAGAGTGAGACTCTATCTCAGGGGAAAAAAAAAAAAAAAAACAGAAAAGAATGTGACTGTATGGGGGAAGAGTTTGATCTGGAGTGTTAAATGCCAGGGGAAAGTTTGGGTTTTCTCACTCAATCCAGGGGTTTTTCTGATGCGTGTTTAGGTTTGAGATTTGGATGGCGTCAGCTGCCTGAAATCTTAAGCAAAATATTGTTTGTGCTGTGTGTTCCTAGTGCAGTCTTTCCTTAGCCCCAGCACAGCAAGTTTAAAACCATTTCTAAAGGCATCAGGAAGCCACAAGAGAGTTTTAAACAAGGGAGGGAGTGGGTTGGGTTTGTGTGGCCGGTGGTAGAGGAAAGACTAAAGGGGCGGGCCTGGGGACCAGTGAGGCCTGCAGGGGAAGGAACAGGGCAGTTGCTCAGGTGAGAGATGGTAGGGTCTGAATTAAGTCAGAGGGTTGAATCTGAGGGAGTGAGCGTGCCGGACAGGTCAGGTGAAGGGGTAGAATCCCTGAACTTGGGCGCCAGGTGGATATTGACGACCTGATGGCATGATGAACAGTGGAGGAAGACACCTCAGATCAGATAATGCTTTGGCTTGGATGACTATGAGTGGAGGGCTGCTTTCCCTTTATGGGGGGGGGGCACTTCCACCCTTCCCGCACTGGGGGTCAAAAATCAGGGCCACTTGAAAGTTGGTGCCATTATAGGGAAGGAGAGGGTGCTTATAGCCCAGGAAGATTGAGGCCAGGAAGTGCTTTCTGGGGGTGATGATATCTTGGCTACTTCTGAAGGGTGTGTCGGGGTTGGCCAGGTGAAAGCGAAGGGAGAAAAGTGTTTTGGGCTGAGGAAGGAGCCCTTGGAGGGAATGAGGGACCCAGAGCTCAAGGTGGCTAAAGCCCAGAGTAGGAGGGGTTCTTGAAGTGGCTAGAGGTGAGGGTGCAGAGGGCTTGGCTTGGGGAGGAGTTGGGGGCCTTGCTTGTGAGGGAGTTAGGAGTATATCCTGGAAGCGTGGGGGAGACGCGTGGAGGGTTTTAGTCCGTGTTCTGAGGCTGGGTTAGCCACAGCACAGTCAGCCCTGCACCCCGCTCCTTAAAGACTGGGCTTCAGCTCTTCTAGAATGGAGCTTTTCGAACTGCGGTGAAGGACCAGTTTGGGGGTTTTGTTTTTTTTTTTAAGTTTCTAACCTGTCCTGGACCAAAACTTTTGCAAAGCATAGTAACAATGTGGACCGTGAACCGTCACATTGCTAGAAAGATTTGGAAACGCTCACTTACTGGTTCCATAACCGTCTGTCACCTCTGGGTAGCCCAGAGACCACTCCTTAAGTGGCAGTACCGTGAATGCCTTGTTGAAAAGAGGTAGAGGGGTGGGACATGACACAGGAAGACTGGTTCTGGGGTGACGCGGGTGACAGTGGAGCCGTGGTGGTGGCAGCAGTGACACAGACTGATTGGAGCATGGTCTAGGAGGTCGCCTTCATACCTTTCGGCTCATCAGTGGGAAGCACATGAGCCTTCTGGCCTGGATTTCTGGGTGGATGGTGGTGCCAGCCATGGTGTGGGGAGCACAGAAGGGGACATCGGTACATGGGGCAAGAGGAAGCACAGGCCCTGTGGAAACCCAGTGGGCCAAAGTTTGCAGAATCTGGAATGGAGATGATGGATTTAGAAATCATGCCATGCAGGTGGCAATTGCAGCCGCGCGAGTGAATAGCTCATATTCCCCTCGGGGTTGCATAGAGCGGAGGACGGGCTCGGAACACAGGCTGTATACCCTGGCATCTAAGGATCCAAAAGGAGAGAGGTTGGTAAAGGAGGAAAAGGTGGAAGAAGGGACTGAGGGGGCGGCCACATGGATGCCAATGGAGACAAGGCCCGGTGACAGGCCCGTGGGGCTGAGTGAGGGTGTCCTCAGCTGCCTGGGGCGGGGAGTGGCAGGCAGCTGCCAGGCTGAGATAAAGGGGAAGTGAAGATCTAGAGTAAGTCTTGGCTGAGAAGTTGTTTAGAGAGGGTCGTGGGGTGAAGGGAGAGGTTTCAACCCAGAATATTCTGACGTGTGTGTTTGAGAGGGAGTCACCCAGGCTGAAGTACAGTGGCACCATCTCAGCTCACTGCAACCTCCACTTCCTGGGCTCAAGTGATTCTCTTGCCTCAGCCTCTCAAATAGCTGGGATTACTGGCACCCACCACCACGCCTGCCTAATTTTTTGCATTATTAGTATAGAGACAGGGTTTCGCCATGTTGGCTAAGCTAGTCTTGAACTCCTGATCTCAGGTGATCCACCCGCCTCAGCCTCCCAAAGTGCTGGGATTACAGGCGTGAGCCATCATACCTGGCAAAAGGCCTGTAAAGAGCGAGGAGTCGCAGAAATGAGAGAGCGAAGAAATGTCCGGAAGTAGTGTCCCCTGGGCGATGGGTGGGGTGGGATTCAGTGCAGAAGTCAGGGGTCCAGCGAATGTGATAGGTCACGCCTGTAATCCCAGCACTTTGTGAGGCCAAGGTGGGTGGATTACGAGGTTAGGAGGAGTTTGAGACCAGCCTGGCCAACATAGGGAAACCCCATCTCTACTAAAAATACAAAAATTAGCCAGGCGTGGCAGCACATTAGGCAGAGGTGGCAGTGAGCTGAGATTGAGCCACTGCACTCCAGTCTGCACGACAGAGCAAGACTCTGTCTCAAAAAAAACAAAAGAAGAAGTCACAAGTCATCATGTAGGGTGCCCATGGATGCACAAACTGGATGGCACAGCCCTAGGACTTGACTTGAGCGTCCAGTGAGGGGCTGTGGGCGACACCTTCCACCCTTTGCCCCACCTCCCTTATCTTTGGCTTTGTCCAAGAGGCTCAGGAGGGCTCCAGGGGTACATAGTCACGTTCAGACCAGGCAGCCCCAGGACAGAGAGGGAGGCGGGGCATCTTGTCCAGGGCTTCCTTATGAGGAGGGTCCTTTCCTTAGAGACCTCACCACCCGCCCCATCTGGCCGGAGTTGGGATCTGCACCCAGGCTCCTGCTGGCAGAATGGGTGTCTCTCACTGCTGCCTCCAACTGGATGCACCCTTGAATGCTGGGGGTCTCTGTCCCCAAAGGCTGGAGAAGCAAAGAGTCAGTAGAAGGGCCGGA